TCTCTGCGGCGCTTTCACAATACTGTTCAAGCCTGACGCAGGACCAGTCACTGGACGACGATCTGACTCGCGCAGATCTCTGCTTAATCCCAAAACCGGGCAAGCCGGCTGACAAGCCTTCACAACTCAGGCCGCTGGGCATTCTTCGCCCGGATGCTAAAGGACTGGCGGGCACGGCCAAGGAGCTCCTGGAGCCTTTCACGCTGCCATACATGAAGCCTCTACCCCAGTTTGCATACCTCCCTGGGAGAGGTCTTTCGGATGCACAGAGCAGAGCGGTTCAGCATTTAAGGGAAGCAAGGCAGCTCTGTCGCAATGCGAATCTCACCCGAGCGGATCAGCAGCGGGGACAATGTCCTGTAGGTCTCGTCGGCGGCATCACTTTCGCACTAGACCTGTCACAGGCATTCGACACTGTGTCCCGAAGTGAGATCTTGTCCCTGCTAGATGAGCTGGGCGCGGATCCCCCGCTTAAGAAACTCATACACGGCCTTCATCATCGATCTAAATACAGACTTCATTCTCAGGGGGCCTACAAGGACGTGGAAACTACCACTGGCATCAAACAAGGCTGCAAGTTGGCCCCCACGCTGTTTTCCGTGCTCACAGGCCGCCTCCTTCATAGACTGATAGACGCATTTGGCTGGGACAATGTCCGCAGATACTTTACAGGTTACGCGGACGACTTCACCATGCATCGCACCATCCGCAGCCAAGCAGACGTGGACGCTGCTCACAAGATGATCCTACAGCTTCTGTCGGAGGTGACGAAACTGGGATTACGCGTCAACCCGGCCAAATGTGCCATGCTAGTCAAGCTTAACGGCAGAGAGGCGGAAGCCGTGCTTCAGAAGCACACCTGCTGGCTGCCCGACTCGACGGGCACACTACAGCGGCATTGGCGACTGGGCAAGCACAGATCCTTCCCTGCATACAAACTTGAGGCGCAAATCAAGTACCTGGGCATCCAAATTTCCTATGGGAACTTTGAAATGCAGACGCTGCGATTCCGCATAGCGGAGGCTGCCAAAAAGCTCCAGCAGGTCAAGCGATTCGTCTACAATCGCCGCACCGCGGGGCCAATGGCCAGGCTAAAGGTCTGGTTCACCACCGTTTGGGCCACCTTGGTCACGGGACTCCCCGAAGTCGGCCTCACGGAGGAGACGGCCAGGCATCTTAGAGGCTGGTATGCACACAAGATACGCTCGGTCCTCAATCAGCCTGCACACGTCGGCCACACACCTACAGCTGACCTGTACCGACTATATTCAATCCAAGACCCGGTAGCCAAAATCCAAACAAGGATGGCTTCTAGACTCAAGCGGTTGTGCAAGAGAACAGCCCCCTCCGAAGCCACCACTACAGCCCTGCCTGCACACACTCCCAGTGAACCCTCAGCGACGCGGGGCCCATGGGCCAGGCTGAGTCCACCAGCGACGGGCCTAGCAACACACCAGCAGCCGTCTGAACCACATACATACGGTGACGTCACGCAACTGAGCCACGTCGTACAGGACCTACAGGACATGCTGAGAGAGGTGGAAAACCTCCCGGCGAGCACCGAGGCCTCACAGCAGCGGCTACACGCCTGCCCTCACTGCGAGTCGGGTTTTGTCTCTGCACATGGCTTACACATGCACGTCACGCGAATGCATCGCGAGCACGTGCAAAGGTACATTCCCCCCTCCTTTGATCGCAGTCGGCACTCCAAGGATGGTCTACCTGTATGTTCTGCATGCGACAAGGCTTTCCATCAATGGAAAGGCCTACGTGACCATCTCTTATCGGGGGCCTGCACGCAGCCGGAACGACTGCGTCAGATCTCTCTCACCACTGAGGAACAGATGCAGGGTCAGGCCCTCCAGGGCCTGGCGGCCTTTCGCGCCAAGGTGCAGAGTTCGCCCAGCAACAAACTCAGTGCCATTGCCACCCGGCCAGAGGCTCAGGAGCTTAAGCATCGGTGCATTTTGTGCGGTTTTTGGACCCCGGACCATACCAAGATGAAGAATCATCAACGACAGGCCCATGCACAAGCATGGCAGCGAGATGGTCCGGCAGCACTTCAGCTTTGCAAGGCCTATTCTGTGCAGATGATAAAGGGGCACCCCTGCCCCTTTTGCAGGCTGCCGGTCTATGACAAACGCAAACACCCTGAGCAATGCATTGTCCTGTTTCAGGTTCTGCTTGGGTGGCACAAGGTGCAAGGCACGGACAAGATGCGGGAACAATGTTCCAAGCCTCATCCCAAGACCGCGGTGACAATGTCACTTAGTGGCTTTTTTGGGGCTGCAGACAAGCCAGCTACCGCGGCTGCATCACCCACTGTTGCCATGGCAACGACGGGCGCCGTCGGCAGCACTCTCCCGCCAGGCCTGTATTCTCGTATGCGACACATGGTGAACTCGGGTAACACCTGCTATGTCAATGCGACCATTCAGGCCCTACTAGCCGCGCTAGACTCTGCGTCCAATGTAGCGGAACTGGGACCACTGGTCCAACACTGCATCAACCCGGAAGCGGATCCAATGGATACGAGGCACATAAACCCTCCAAGCCTATTCGCTCTCCGGTCCTTAGTGCCTAGATGGCGATTCGATGGCCGTCAACAAGACGCCTCCGAATTTGTCACATACATGCTAGAGCACAACACGGGGACTCTGCAACCCGCTCGCTGGGAAGGACGCACTAATGGAGTGCCGGAAAGTGAGGATGACGGCCTCACGCCGTTGCTGCTGCCCCTTTCCTCAGCCTGTCGTACACTGCAGCAGGCCTGCACGGCATGGTATGACCACACGTTCCAGCGCGCCCTGGCATGGGCCCCTGACATCCTGCCAGTCACAATCGCTCGATGGATGGACGGCACAAAACGACGCACCCCGCTGGACCTGCGCAGGCACCTCTCAATGCCGTCTTGGATTGAGGGTCAGGGCCGGCAATGGCATCAATATGCAGTCATTTCGGGAGTTTTTCACATAGGTGCTGACATACACTCCGGCCACTACCGGTCCTTCTGGATTCACCCAAATGGAGGCGCGCTGTATGTGGGGGATGATGCCACCCGCCCATACCCAGCCTCGGCCTCAGATCGCAAACATGTTATGGAAGACTGCTACCTCCTTTTCTTGAGAAGACAGGAGTGACTCTGACTCACCCTCAAGGGGTGAGTGCTGGCCCTCCAAACCTAGGAATGCGTGCACCAATAGGGTGCCTGTGCGTGGGAAGGCCGGACCCCACAATAGGTGGGCATGGCCCCCCCCACGTCAAGGCCAAGCATGCTTTAGGCATGCGCAGGCTTACCCGCAGCTTTTCAGGCTGACCCAGCATGGCTGACACGATCCACAGCCCGGACCACAAAAGTGGTCGAACCGCCTCTCCCCTGGCTCCAGATTCACTAATGGGAGAGCCATCTGAGCCGCTTGGGGTCGACACTCGACGCCAGACATCCGGAGGCGGCAAGCAGCGGCAAGGCAGCGCCCTGCATGCCCTCTCCAACGCTGCAACCAATGGTGCCACTGGCAGACTAAGCAGTAAGTCGCGGAGGCCATGCCTGTTCTCACTTGCGTCTCTTCCGAGACAGACTGATGGCCCTTCTGCCGGATGCCGCCGCTGTCAGTCGGAAATCATGCCCTAGCCTGCTGCCGGTCGCGCTACTGCTGCTCTGCTGACAGCATACACAACGCGAATTCCGTTTCAATGTTCAGGTACATACAACAATCTGGAGCTTGATACCCTGCAGCCTGCAAACTCGCTTTGGCTGATCACTGCCAGTTAGCTCAAAGCCTGTAGGCCGCAACCACTCAAAGGTCTTTTGACCTGGGCGGATCAGCTATAGGGTCTGAGTCAGTTTCACACCAAAGTGAGTGCACCGCGGCAATCGCCCGCTATGTGCAGAGCCCGCTCGCACAGCGTTCAATTGAATTGAAAATAGTAGTAGTAGTAGTAGTAGTAGTAGTAGTAGTAGTAGTAGTAGTAGTAGTAGTAGTAGTAGTAGTAGTAGTAGTAGTAGTAGTAGTAGTAGTAGGTAGTGGTAGTGGTAGTGGTAGTGGTAGTGGTAGTAGTAGTAGTAGTAGTAGTAGCAGTAGTAGTAGTAGTAGTAGTAGTAGTAGCAGTAGTAGTAGTAGTAGTGGTAGTAATCACAATACTAGCACCAATAGTAGTAGCACGAGTATTTGTCGTCGTAGTAGTCGTAGTAGCAGCAGCAGCATCGGGCGTCGTTGTTTTGTGTGGTTGTGGTTGTCTTTGTTGTTGTTGTCGTTGTTGTTGTTGCCCTTGTTGTTCTTGTTGCATGCCTCCCCCAGCAGCACACATTGTCCAGAAGGTTAAACACCACCTTGGCAATTGAAGACAAGCTGAAGCTCAACAGCGAACGTGTGTGTTATAAGTTTGCACTCCATTACTGCTTTGCACACAATTGGAATTTTCTTGTAACCTCCACGGCCAGCTGCATGAAGATGTAGCAGTGATGCGACCGATATAGCATTAGCACCATGTTTCGATGGTTGAAAGCTTGCCTGCTGCCTGCTGCCGAAACCGCCTGAGAACGTGTGCTTCCTGTGCAGATCACTACACTGTTGGGCCTCGTCTTGGATGCCTTCGATACACATGGTTTAGCTTTCCGCCAGGTTTGTAGATGTCTCGGGGAATCTGGTCCTAAACGCCAAAGCCAGTACAGCAGATGAGCCCGCAACCCTCAACATGCCTCAGCTTGCCGCCTCGAATACATCCCAAGCTTTCAATCCTAAACCCTGTGCATTCAAGGTGGGGGTTTAGGACACTATTCGGTTCAGGGTGTGGCATCTAGAGCTACCAGGCGAGTTTGACCAGAAAGTAGGGGTTCGGTTTTCACTGCACGTTTGCTCCATGATGGATCGGTGCAACCTCTCAGATTGCAGATTAAGTAGCAGTTGGAGTATGCAGACATCTTAAGCACCTTAGTATTGATGAAGTCTTCATCAGCCACTGTGAGGGTGTTCTTGACGCATGGCTCGCCTTCATCCATGATGCGGATCATTTGCCCGAATTGTGGCGAGGAGCCACAGAAGGGCGACTGGGCTGGATCCTTCTTCTGGAGCTGTTGCAATGGTCCTTTTTTTGGTTTTGTTGTTGTTGCGTGTATACATATAAGCCGTTGCTGCCGCTACTACGGCCTTGCAGAGTGAGTGCCAGGCAAGTACTTTCACGGACTGATAACAGTGTGAATGTCATTCACCACTTGTCTTGTGATTGACCAGAGCTATGCTAGCAGGTTACAGCTTGGTTGCTATGAGTCTTACCATCCATGCTGATTTAGAAATGCTCGTGTATACGTGTGTATATAGAGCGAGGGAGGGAGGGAAGGAGGGATGGAGGGAGGCACAGAGGGAGAGAGAGGGAGAGAGGCAGAGAGACAGAGAGTGAGTGAGTGAGTGAGTGAGAGAGAGAGAGAGAGAGAGAGAGAGAGAGAGAGAGAGATGTAGAGGGAAACCTCTACATCATAACCCTGGCGAAAGAAAGAGAGAGAGAGAGAGAGAGAGACGGAACCAAAGAGATAGAGTTGGCCTTAGAGAGCTTGTTCACTTGCTGTTTTGGCTGTAATCTTTCGGTACATGATGATGAGGACGGTAATGACGATTATGAGGAGGAGGACGAGAGGGAGCGGAGGAGCATGAACAGGGGGATAATAAGAATGAAGAAGACGAAGAGCAGGATGAGGATCAATGATACATGGTGAGGGAGTTGTTAACGATGACGGTGAGGGTGATGAGGACGATGATGATGACGAAGATAGAGATGAGAGACGACGATTACAGTGACCGTGGCGATGATGATGATCATGATGATGGTGATGATGACGATGATGATGAAGAAGAAGAGGATGATCATGATCAAGACGACTCAACCAGGTCAGCGGCATGTCTGCAAGACAGACGATGCAAGCTTGGGATTGGAGGCCTCCGGCGATGGCCCTGTGGGGCCTCTGCTGCAGAGGAGCTTTTCCAAACGTCACATCTGCATCCTAACGATCCTTACCGTCAGCGCTACATCCGCGACCCAAACCTTATGCCTTATCCAGCTCCGCCTGAGCCAGCACAGCACAGGAGCCATGTGGCGGCAAAGAGCCAGCGACGGACGGTTCCCTGTGCGACAGCCAGCTCCATGTGTGCTTCCATCGCATCGCTGGCATCGAAAAATCCGGGGCTCTGGAAGTCCAGCCGGACGCTGGCCAGGTGCGGCTGGTGTGCTTCGAAGACACTGTTCATCTTGTCTTCCTGAATTCCAGAATCAGCTTTCAACGGACACCACCACCGCTGTTACTGTCAGTATCGCTGTAGTCGTCATAACCATCGCGCTAGCACCGCCAGCACCAGCACCGCACTCACCGTCGTGGTCGTGATTACCAAGATCACGTAGCCAGCAAAGTGCGAGCTTCGGTAGCTTCGTCAGATGCAGTCCCCAGATGTGGTGGCGAAGACTTCGTGGCGGCCCTCATTTTCACAGTGGCGGGGCTGCCGACCTGGAGCCGCGATCCGAAGCGCACGTTGCTCGCTGCTTTGTGCGGGAATGTGGCCCATGAGGCCCAGACAGTACGTGATAGCATGACAAAGTATATCTCGGTCAGGTATACAAAATATACTACTGTAAGGTCTAGCACTGTCTAGTCTAGCCAAGTCGGGTTTTGTTCAGTTCAGTGTAGCATGGCACGGCATGGTGTGGCATCGTGCAGAAATAGAGATGAATAGCACAGAACATAGTTCATGTTAATTATGCTCTTTTGTGTGTTCTATTTCACTCACATTTCTTGTGATTTTAGGCCCCTGGCTTGAGAGGCGGCTAAAGCGCTGCAGAACTTCTGGCGCCAAAGACGTCGACGCACTGTTTCTGTCTACCAGCCTCGACCCCCCAAAGAGCCGGCAAACGGCTGCTTTGCTTTATTCCTGAGATATTTTGCACCACGAAGCCGAGTTCCCATCTAGAGTCTAGAGCTGTCTCTTGAGTGCTGGGTGATAGTTCTCCATTGTCAACACGTCAGGATTCGACGACGCCGAATCGTGCTTTCATTACACAAAGGTTTGAAGTTTTTACTGTATCGCATCCAACCATCTGAGAACTGGTGAGAAGGGGATTCTGACTGCACTTGGATCTGGTTAGACAGGCAACAACGCGCTCCTACGAAGCCACTCGAGCGCAGTATCTCCCCTCAGTGCCAAAGTAGGACGCCGTTGCCGCTGCAAGTATCTAAGAATCTGCTCTGGTGCGCCGCGGCAGTAAGCTCTTCTTGTTTGCAGTCTAGACCCTTTGCAACGAGCTCTGCACGTCAAAACACCGTTGTATGCATTTCTCAAACAAATCTCGAGAGAGCCTCATGAGCCTCCTCGAAGAAACAGCGCTCGAGTACTGTGGACACACTTCACAAGTACCAAGCAGCTAGACTGAAACAAAGACCTTGGTTTGGCGTGTCATGAATTGCTGCTGTTGTTGCTTGTGTTGGCACTGGCGGCGAATTATCTGCTCATTTTGCATTTTTCGCCATCCTCCTGCTGTAGCTGCTGCTGTTGAGGTTGCCGTTGTTGTCGTCCCCACTGCTGCAGTCGTCCTCGGCCCCCTAGATTTCGCCGCTTCTCCCTCATCATTGTCTTGGTTCGCACCGCCGTCACAGCCATCATCATCATCGTCGTCGTCATCCGAACTGAGGCTACAGCGCCTACCGCTTGGACAAGGCCTCCACGCACCATGGGAGCTTCCCCACGCCCAAGGCCGCGCCGAAGGTTTATTTCCAGGCCGGCAACGCAACAGCTTCCGTTATCTTCCGTTTCGGGCTTCACATCTCTTTACGATATGGCCTCGGGTTTAAGGCTTACTTGTGCTTGCAGCGGATTTGTTCGGGCAAGGGTTTGGAGGAGTTGGGTCCTGGAAACCTTGTGGCCAATATGCAGCTTAGGGCTTGAAACCTGTCATCTCTTAGCTTTATATGGCACAAGATAGCGCTTATATAACTTATTTGCTATCATTAACAGTAGTTGTGCATTGTATGGCTTTGCACGAAACTGACGGACATCCCATACTCAGAGCGACAGGTTCAGGACCCTCGGAGCGCTCACATAGTATAGGGCACTGTAGGGGCTTAAATAAATACCAGTACTGTTCTGGGGGGGGGTTCCTTATTATAATCATGGTACAATGGGCCCCAAAACCCTATTCTAATTATTAGGCCCCTATATTAGGAGGCAGGCGAAGTGTCCTTCCCTGAAGGAGGGGGAGGCACGCCGCGGATGGGCGCAACAAAGCGTTGGCAGTGCCCCTGGGTTGGGACTTAGAATTACTGACTTACGTTACGTTGTTCGGAGTTGTTTTGTTTCAGGAAATCACGTTCATCCGTCTTTTTTCTGATGAGTGAGGGTTCAGGAGTGTTAGGCATGTCGGGCCTCAGTGTCTGCAGCCTCGGCCAACCCAACTTAGAAGTTGAGGGTGAATGCTCCAAGGTTCGACGGGATGGCTGCGTACTTTGTTCATGCTTGCACGCTTGCTTTCCTAGTTGGCAAAACGCGGAGCAGTGCCTGGCAGCTCTCGAGCTTCCTGCTTGTTTGAAGCGCTGTACCCGGTCGGGGAATCACGACTGTATGCTGGAACCGACTGCACTCGCACCACAGTCATAAACGGCTGTCTCAAGCCACCCGACCAATGAGATGATGGTGCAGAATCAAATCCAGCCAATCGTGTCAAGTTGAGAAACATGTAGAATACAAGTGGTATACATGTTTGACTCGAAAGATGATGTGCTCGGAAAAAGTACTTAGTATGTGACTGAAACTTCCAGCCGTTTCTTGTGCCAGCAAGGATGATTAAAAGCAGCTGGTTACACAAGCAACTGTACGAGCACAGGATATGCGTATGCGTACGCGTATGAATGAATGACTGAAAGAACGCATAAACGTATGTATGGATGTATGTATGAATACAATATATGTATGTGATATGTGTGTGTACGCATGCATGTATGCGTGAATATGTGTATATATATATATATATATATGTATATATATATATACATATATATATATACACGCATCTGTATGTATATGTATGTGTGATTGTGCCTGTCAGCGCATGTGTGTGTGCGCATGTGCGTACATGTGTCTGTGTTTGTCTGTTTGCATGGGTGCATGCATGCACGGCGGCATGCATGCATGTGTGTATGTAAGACACGTGGAAGGTAGTGTGACGTAACGTAATGTGGGGAAATGTATGAAATGTGATGTAATGTAATGCAATGCACGTCATATGTATGTACGCATGTATGTATGCATGCATGTATTCATGCATTCGTTTATATGTTTACATTTGCTTGACATATGTAATCACATGTATGTACGCGCATGCTCATATTATATCTATATATACATATGTATATACTCACATTTTATGGCTGTATTAGTCTTGAGGTTTGAGGTTTAGACACACCTGAAAATGCTGCATGCATTTAAGCATAACATTCTGTGACCAACTGCTATGTGCTCCTGCCTGTGCGACATCCTAGCTACTGATATGTCTTGTGCGAATATTTACAAACCATTTCCGGTTCCGGACTTTCGCATTATGTGTTGCATTCTCAACAGCATCTTTCAGCGTGTGTGGATGGATGCTTCTTTAGCCACCCCTAACAGGTCCTTTGCCAGGTGCGGGGAGTTGCGTTTGCGTGGCATGAAAGGAGTAGTAGTAGTGGTCGTCGTAGTAGTAGTAGTAGTAGTAAAGAAGTATACAGCCATAGCATAGAAAACCCTCTACACAACGTGGTCTTTCGTTCGGCGTATAGGGACCGCATCCTTTCACAGGGTTGACGTAGAGGAAAACCTATAGGGTATTGGATTAACACCATGCTGAAAAGACACTACCCAAGCTTGTCTGACCACACCGCAGGGAAGAACTTTGGGCCGCAATTTAGGTACGTAGAGTTAGGCCGAACCCTGCGACAATCCCTAGAGAGGGCGCCAAAGCGTGCAGCACCGCGCGCATGGCCCTAGCAAAAAAGTAGTAGTAGTAGTAGCAGTAGTAGTAGTAGGAGTAGTAGTAGTAGTAGTAGTAGGAGTAGTAGTAGTAGTAGTAGTAGTTCGTAGTATTTGAAACCCCAGCTTCCGCGACACGTCCCGACAGTTGAGCACCACGGACTTCGAGATGTACAAACAGCGTCCATGCTGGGTTTTAGCAGTTTAGCACATACTGATGTCTACTTTCGCCATTGGTGTGTAGTTATCTGAAACAGCGTACACGCAAAGATGATGTGAATTCTCAACGGCTGATGTGAGACAAAGCCATTGCAAGTACGTGCAATAACACATGGTTAGACGCTGAAGCTCCAGATAGTGCAAGTGTCCAGATGTCTGTGGGTCACATGTGTCTGCATACATATGCGTATGTACGAACATACATACATACATACATACATACATACATACATACATATATATATATATATATATATATATGTTTATACAGATGTTTACACACACATACATATATATATATATATATATTATGTAGTTGTTTGTTTGTATGTGTATATTTATAATACATATAAAGCACATACATACATACTGCCGGTGCATGTATATATATATATATATATGCATACACATACAAATATACACATACACATAATCACATGTGCCCACATATCCATATCGATTTTGCGACATATACAGCGCACACACGCACAGGTGCGTGTATATGTATGTATATATATATATATATATGTAGCCGGTTCACAAATCAGAGAACCAAGCCCGGAGCAATCCTAGAAAAGGAGAAGAACAGCACTGCTCCGGCACCGGGGGTGGCGAAGAAGTCGAACCCGAGGCAGCGGTTGTCTGGATCTGAGGTTAAGGTGTGGGAGTGTAGAGTGCGGATGAGACTTCGAAATCTACAGGAAAATCTTGCAATGTCAAGCCCCCCAAGCCCTTAGCCTTCAATCCCCAAACACTGGCCTGAAATACTCAACCTGCAACCACCTCGACCTCCCACCCTACTCCAACGTCTAAATTATGCCCCAAGCCCCATAAACTTCATCCATTCACTCTTCTTCCTGGATTTCGAGGCCGGTTCAGAGCCGCGCAGTTCCGTTAGAGCCTCGGGGTCCTGTCTTCCGAAACTTTGCGCCTGAAGGTGCTTTCAAGAAGATTAGCTAAGGGTTTGAGACTAAGGGTTCGGGGATTTGGGTTCGACTTCAGCCCGAGGAAACGGTGTAAGATGTACCCACACAACCAGATGACGGTTCATTGGTACATGTGTTTACCACGGATGTGCTGCCTTTCGTGTAATCGCTTCCCCCTTAATGTTAAACCCCCCTAATATGAAAAATCCCGGCCCCCGGAATTTCGCGGTTTCGGGCCCACAATTGAAAGTCAATAAAAACATTAGAGGGGGCCTAGGATTGTATTCGCAAGAAGGGGTCGTTGTAAGTGACTGTCTGGGTCCATAATCAATTACTTCTGAAGCACTGCCAATCCGAAACCCCCCCTAATATAAAAATTGACACTCTGCAATCCAGTTTGTTTATTAAAGGAGTGGGGGTCTTTAATATTAGGGGGAAGGGATTATGCAATTATGCACCTGCTTTTAAAGGTGGTCAGGGTTGTTTGATAACTTTCTTCAGAGAGCTCCATGGGGCCTTAGGATGAGATTTCAAGTAAGTCAAGCTTTGTTGGAGGTTGCGAAGAAACGACGGTGCTAAGTATTGATGCGTCTGCTATCAGACAGCGTCTCGATGGAGCTGCCAAAGGGTTGAGACACGGCCGCGGCGAAGCTCTCGTATATTGTTCAGATTTGGAAGGTTGGGTTTACATGATGTTTATGATAGGAGTGGCATCTCGTGTTTGAACTGGAGAATTTTAGGAAGGTCATGCGACTTCTGTATGCCTATAAAAGCACTGCACAAAGAATCCGAGTGACAAGATGGCAGCATGATGTCGTGGACATGACGGCCCACAAAGTTGAACCATCATTGGTGTTTGTTTGCACAACCGACCGACGGGATGAAGGGTGGCTACGTTGATGCGATACAACCGAAAAAGCATGCCTCCATGTTTCAACAGAAGAACCCAATAGCAGACATGAGCCCCGTGCCGTGGATGCCATGTTACTGCCTTCATAACTCGGTGCATATTTCAACACTCCCCATACGTTCCTGTCTAGAATATACCCTTCATAAACTCGGTGCTGCAGAAGACTCCAATATTTGTATGCGCTGGTGCACTTCTCCCATGCTTCATAATTTTTCATTTGTTGACAGTACGGTTGAGCCAAGCAATACTTTTCTCTTCCAAACGAGGCGGGTCCCGAAGGGACACACCATTTCGGCCACGTTCAGGCAAAATCATTTAGACAGTAGCCCATATACATATATCATTTGATATATATATATATATATAGACATATATATATATACACAAAAGAAGTCGACAGTCATAGATCCTTCTCTTAGCCTTATTGTTGCTTCTGAGGGTGAACCCTCTTCAAGCCATGAAGAACCGCCTTGCGCAGCAGCAGTCCGGGATGCCCAGAGAGGGCGGTGGAGTTGCAGCAAAGACCCCGTGTAGGGCAGTTTAGGATTTGGGCATTTTCAAGTCATTGAAGATTCGCGTTTTGATTCCATGTAGTGGCCTCATCCTTTGAAGCGACTGTCCTTGTTATTCAGTTCCTTGTATACCACCAGGCAAACATACACTGGCACCCTGGTCGTGATGTAGCTCGACCACAGTTCAAAGTTCAACCAACACTGGACTTGACTGAACTAGCCTTACCCATCCTTGGCCAACGCCCCACATGGGCTATCGTGGCGCTTCAAGTGTTGTTTTCATCCCTGGCATGTCCGGCTGGTCTGTGAACGGTCATGAACGGTACGAATAAGCCTGGAAGGCCGGTAGTTTCTGAACCCTGCCAAAGTTCTGAAACCCGCGTGAAGCCCCCTTGGAAAGCAAAGCAATCAAAGGAGCCTCAAAGATTCGTGCTTCCAGTCCTTCCTCATCCTTCGCACGCTTGACCCAGACCCTTGTTCTCGTTATTACTCGGCAGGAAGCGCTCGCTCGCGAACGACCCTGACACTAAGCCCACGGCCCCTATACCCTCAACAGACTATTTAACCGTCAGCCTGCAAAGGCTGAAACCTAAAGCACCGCACTCCATTCTCCTCACATCCCCAGAGCCACAAACTCACAAATCATGCAGCACGGCAAGGCAGGATGCCGAAGACCGGCGCTTGCATGGGCTGCAGCCACTGGGCGCTACATTGAAAGCGGCTTCAAGATGCATAAAACAGTGTGTCCGCGAAGGTTTCCCTCTACATAGTCTGCATATGCAGACTCAGACTTTACACACACACAGACAAAATGTCCTCGGGCTGAGAGGACGAGTTGAAGGTTGCTTGGATTGCTGTCTGGGGTGTTTCGAGCAGCATCATGATAAGGGCTGTATACTGTTCCAAAAGCATATTGGGATGTGGTAAGTTGGTGGCAGCACATCTTCTCCCCAACAACAACGCAACACATGCAGCAGTTTTTTCCAGACACCAACTGACCAAGTTCGCGAGCACAAGTGTTGGAATGTACGATGAAGTGGGAGCGTGCAAAGACCATGATTCTTGCTCAATTGTGAGCTGCGCCACTGCGGAGCCACTCAGCTGCCGCTTCTATCGCGGGCGGCATGAGATTCTAATCTAAGCCCTTGACTCATACAGTGCGAACCCCATACGTCGTGTTCCCAAAATTGTTGTTCTGGGAGTAGTGTGGCATCCTGTTTCAGAACATTCTCGGCACAGAAGAAACAAAAGTGACACTTTAAGCATGTTGCACCCAAGCTCTATTCTTCAGGCCCTGCTAAAGCATTCCGTCCAATCGTCATCTTACCTTGCCCATCGCCCAATCAGGGAAATAGCCTGCAACCTAAATCAGCAGGGTGCCGCAGTGAAACTCTACACAACTACTTTCTTGCGAGTGCAAGGGAGCATGCGAGAGATGACCCGCAGTGAGTTCCAGGCAAGCGGAAGATGTGCGTCGGAAGCTCAGGCAGTATTTTTCGAATGAGTGACGAACATGTCGGCGGCTTGTGGCGCGTAAAATCCTGATGTATCGAATGGTTGCTTGGTTACGATTTCTCCAGCCCGTGCTTTCTTGCATCATGACCAGCTACAGTCCGGAAGGCTGGCGAGGAGTTGCACAGTAGTTGCAGAGTGAATGGTGGACTTGCTTGTAAAGGGCAACCTCAACCCCAATCAGAGCTTGTGCCCGTAAACGCCGTCAAGTAGCTTACCATGTCACTGACCATGAGCGCCTTGCCTGATTTAGGTATAGTAATGAATAGTAGTATAGTATAGCAATAAAAATCAGATAGTAGTGTAGTGTAAAGATGTAATGATATTTTGAGAACCCTCCACCTGCTGGAGCCTAAAATGGATTCCCAAGGCTTGGCACGTAACGGCGTGCCGGAAACAGACTCGCGAGCGCTGCAAGGCACAGGCTCGGGGTTTAGGATCCACGAATACGTCAAGGTAGAAACTCAAAATTTCATACGACGTAGGATCAAAAACTTAAATTAAAAGCTCGGGGCTTGGGCCTTTAGGGCGTGGAATTGAGCGTTTGATTTAGAACAGAGGTTCAGACGTTGCATAAAGGCAGGACTCTGGGCTGAGGCTTTGTAGGGCTTGGATGTATGGGAGTTTCCGAAAACTAGGGGCACCCTATTTTGGGGTTCTTATAATAAGGATCCTACTATTTAGGGTACTATATTAGGGTCCCCTATTTTCGGAAACTCCCGTATAAGTCTTGAAGCTTACTTCATATCCAGTCGCTCATTGCGGGCTTGGAACCATCGTACAGCGGGTCCTAGACTGTAGCTACAAGGTCTATTTCGGGATGTACATTACTTGGTCAATGGTCTTAAGTTGTTGAGGGCTTTTGAGGATTCCGAATTGTGATTCGCGAGCACAGCCTTAAGTATGGCTTAGCATCTGGGTTTCCGGAGTTTGATGCTGCATTCACTGTCTCGGCCTGCCCACTACTGCAAACTTGCCGTCCAGAGTCGTGCCACGGATTTTTCTTGCCACATTGGACATCGCACCACCACCTGCAGGAGTCGTTTGTTTGCTCAAGCCAGCCGGGGAAGGCTCTTGTGTGTTCCCTGTGTCTCCATGCATTTTCTGTTAAGTCTTGCGGCCTTGCAGCTGGCAGCATGTGCTCGCCGGGGACCCCAGGTAAACGGGTGTGTTGAGATGGGGGGGCCTTGTGTCAACCTACGCCTCACATCCATACACTTTGCCGGCGGGCCCCGAGCAATTGTTTAGCAGAACAGTTTTCAGTTGTAGTAGAAGGCCTGCAGTTTGAGGCCATCCTGACACCCAAGAACCTTTGTATCCGTGGCAAAGCTTGCTCTTCACCATGCATGATACTTGAGATGGGCTGATGATTTGCATAATAAGTCTTGTGTGAAAACCATGCAGCGCATGCAGGTTTTTTCAACATAATACTCGTATATAGAAAGGCCTGAAGCAGGTGCCGGGTTTTGCAAGGAGTGCAGCACTGATAAAGGAGTCAACAAGGAACTCAAATCCATGGACAAGCGTCTAGACGAAGAATTCGGTCCATGGGGCAACTGGGCGCGAGCTAAGGTGAGGACGCTAGCACGGCGATCCATGCCGGCCCCCCCATGTGCTGCTGCAACCCCGAGCACCGGCGCAAGACCAAGTGCTTCAAAGCGGAAGGCAGCCCCGGGATTGGAAGGCAGTTCGTTTTGGCGAGGATTCACAGAGGTAGGCTTAATTTAATGGGCAGGTAGAAGGTATGGTACAAAGACCGCTGCAGTGAGTCTATACTGGCAGCGATGGCATGCAGAAGGCTGTGAAGAGACATCAATCGACCGCAGTCATGGCGGTCTCAGCAGCAGCCGAAGTAAGAAGTCACTCTGACGAGTCTCTGACGTCACATGCTGACCTCCGGGCACGGGTTGAGATCCGCACACGTTAAACCTCATACTTTGAAATATTCTAGACCTGGCTGGGGGAGCTGAGGGTGAGAACCCTTTGGACACTCCTGCGCTTGCATGTGCCTCGAATCTCCGGACCATGACCCCCAAGTACAGATCTTGAGCACCAATCGTGAACCCTTTGAACCCAGATCCTGAAACCTGAGCCCGAAATCCCAAGCTCACAAACAACCGGCCGCAGCCCTTTACCCTAAATCCAAAACCCCCAAGCCCGACGGTTGAAAAGGCGAAACGCTCCTCACCGACGAACGTGGACAGCTGTGGGAACAGCTGCCGCTGGAGGAGCAGGCAGGTTTGGGAGTTGGGGTTTGGGTTTTGCGGGGGATGTACATGCATGCACCCACCCTCCATGAATCCTTCCCTTTCCCCCTCCGTCCGTCCATCCGCACATCCGCACATCCGCTGCTTGTATGCAATTGAACACCTAGTTGACCAAAGGCTTGGTCCGCAGGTGGCTGTCGTCGGAACTTTAGCTCTTCCAGAACCAAGAAAGGGGAACGAGAGAGAAGAGATCACTGGATTGATCAGATGGTGGCGTCTGGGCGGTCTAGGGCTCTTACTAGCGCTGGTGTCTGGACTCACATGCCTGAGCACGGAAAAGCCATGGCCTGCGATTCACTAGGAACTGCATCTTGTCCCGACACCCTGACCGAGCTTCTGGCGAAGTGGAGGTTGACATGTGCAGACAGGGGCTTCCTGCAACTGATGGCCCTATTGATAGATATCTGCGGCGAAAGTTCAACCAATGTACACCTACCTGCGGTCTGTACAGGTCACGACGAAATTCGAGTGCAGCGTCAGCGATCGCACCTACAACATGCAGGCGTGCCGTGCAGCCATGAGAGCCTTTTGGCAAGGGTAGCCTTAGAATGCTGCCTGAGCCCATCTCAGCCCTGAGCTGATTGATTTTGCCTTTCTCGAATAAGGTTTAGGGTTGAGATTTTTGGGCTCGGGAGGGGCTCATTCATCGCCTGGCGGTGCAGCGGAATCTACATACATCTCAAGCCTTCAAACTGAGAAGGTCAGTTTCCAAACTCTTAAATTTCGAAAACAGACGACCTAAAAAAGGGCCAGAAATGGCCTGAACCCAATCACCAGCAGAATCCTGATTTGGGATTTGACCGGAAACTGTTGGGGGTGAGAGGCTTGGTCTTGTTTACGGGATAAGATGCAGGAATGTAGGCAGAACATGCCGCTTAAACCCATGCAACCCCCCGGCGCCTCAATCCGTAAAGCCCCAAACCTCTAGACCACCCACTGCTCAGCAGCTTCAGACCCCTCCGAACCTCTGAACCCTTAAACCCTACCCCAGCAGCCGGAGGTTCTGAGCGGAGCTGTGATCCAGGAATCTCCCGAATCGATACTTCAGGAACCACCTGACGTCCAGGACATACATTTTCGGGTTTGTGGTTTAGGTCTAGGGTTTGGGATTCAAGGTTGGGTTGGCGGCCCATTGGCGGCTGGCGTTTACAGGTTCAAGTAGATGCCGCCTGTGTTTCCTTCTGACCGCTGTCTCAAGCAGCCGTGAGGCCACCATAGAACTGATGCGTCCCCGCAAGTCCATCGCTGGGACAGCCAAAGCCAGGTTCCAAGGCCTGCTGGCTTCAGCTTCGCATCAAAGTGGCAGGATCCCGCATGTGGTCTGTATCTTTATTCTCAGATCTTTCTTCGCATGTGTATTGGTACTCCTAGTTCTCGCCGTCGTAAGGTCGTGGTGCTGCTGGCTGTTCACTTCGTGGTTTGACTTATTACTCTTCAGTACCACTGTGCACCCTGCATTCCCAACTACAAACCTCGATGGTGCGGAGGAATTGCTTCTGGGAGTCAGCAGTGCTTAGCAGTGCTTTTGTGCCTGCTTGCCGAGTAGGAGCGAAGTAAGGCCACGCGTGCCGGGCCGTGTCGGTTTGTACGATGTAGCATGCTGAGCCTGTCGAAAGGGACCCCTTTGGTACTGTTCCGATGGTCAGGTCTCTGGAAACGCAATAGCAGTGGCACTTGCTTTTTCTGGGGTCACGGGTACAGCCAAAACGTCGGACTATCGGACGCTCTCGTGTTTCTGAGGACCTAGCCCGACGGAGTATCCCAGATGCTACCCGTAGGCTCCAGTTTTATCTTACTCCGATCATCGCTGAATATTGCTGCTCGTCTAACATATTCCAACATGTCTGTATCTTTCCATCTCTGAGAGTGCATATATGGTCTGTGTACAATCAAAATATGTTTCTCTTATCTTTGTTTCGTCTTAGTCTTAGTCTAACTTCGCCATCGGCCAGGAGCCCATCTACGAGACAAAGCACTTTGCCTGCCACCGCAAGGGGAGAGGACCCACCGCGACGGATGTGTGCCGCGGCAAGCGTTGAGAGCGCAGGGTTCAGGGTTCAGATCTAGTAGTCCTCGCTAGCACAAGCGCGACTGCAACCCCGTCTCGCTATTCCTACCACTGTGTCATCATGATGACTTCCGTGAACAGGCCTCTCTAACTTATCAAAGTGTCACGATTGCAGGGTCGGCGGTGTTTTGCGACGTCTCAGGAACGGATCATCCATCCGAGAAGTCCTCAGCCTTGAGATGCTCTCGGCCGTTTAGATCCAAAATCCTCCAGTCCTTTCCCCCATGTCCAGCCCATGCACCCCCAACCGCGATGTCGACCGTAGAAGGCAGCGAATCGCCCCAGTACGAGAGAAGACACGCTGAAGTCCAGAATCAAGGCCTTGTGTTTACATACTTGTAGGTGTTTGAAGTATGTCAGTCCACAACACAAGTCCTAAAGCCCCTAAGCCCAAAGCTCCAAGCAGCCAGAACTCCCAAGCCATGTAGGCTTCACCAAAAATTGTCCGAAAACAAAGAGTCCAGGAACCCCAGAGCATCCACACCCAGGTTCTGCAGGCAAGGACCTTGCCCTGGCCAGACAGTGGAGGCTCCGAGATGCCCCGAGGATGACAGCTATCTCTACAAGGACCCCCCAAATCTTGAATTGGAGGGTGTTTATGGCCCTTGACTTGGGCTTCAGGGCTCCGATGCTTTGGGTTTGTGTTGGGCTCTGGGTGTTTTTGAACCCAGAGAAGTGCGAGGAGGCAGACGGCCATGGGGTCTGCATCGAGGAGGAGGATCTGATCGGCGTGCCTCGGTTTCGGCTACTTGCTGCCACCGCCACCGCCAAGTGTGTAGGGTTTAGGGTTTACGGTTTAGGCCAGGCATCATGAGGAACATGTCGAGTTTATGCGGCCTACGCCCCAAGACTTGGTATGATACAGTCAAGAAAAGTACGAAGTATCTTGCCTGTGCATGATAACTGTTGTGATCTGAACCCAAATCAAGTGCCCAATCATTGTGGTGCGGTGCACGTTATAAAATCCTATCTGTGTGCATGTTGACCCTGACCTAACATGGTGAACGCAACATCGTCTTGTAGTGCTGTGTGTGTGTGTGTGTACCTTAGAAGTGCGAGGGTTGTTAAAATGTAAGAGCATAGAATTGTTTTCCATTGTAAATGTAATTTTAACGCTACGCCGCCCGCCTCGGCTCTGTAGCGGCAGGGCGAGGCGGCAGTGGATGTTGTATACAGCATGCTAAGCGGGAGTGTCGGGGAGGGGGGGAGCCGGACAAGGGGGTGGCAAATGAGCGCAAAAAACGGGTGTCCCCAAACATTTGGACTGCAGGCAGGAGGATTAGGTGGAGGGTACCTGAGGTAACCACCAAGACGCCTGGGCCTGTAACCGGTTAAGGCCTTCCAGCCATGCCGCCCGGAGCAAGAAAAAACAATACAGAAAGAGCCTGAAAAGAAAGACAGGCAGTGGATTGACGACGCAAAAGCCAAAAGCGGGGGCGAGGAGGGCGGGGAGAAGAAGTGGGAGCAGGAAAGAGTGAAGAGAAAGGGGGGGGGAGGGGGGGGTGGGGGGGGGGGAGGGGGGGGGGAGGGGGGGGGGAGGGGGGGGGGGGGGGGGGGGGGGGGAGGGGGGGGGGGGGGGGGGGGGGGGGGAGGGGGGGAAAAAAGAGGGGAGGACGCCTGGGAGGGGGCGGGTAGGCCCGCAAATCAAAGAAAATGAGGGGAGGCCGGGCAAGGGGGTGGCAAACGAGCGCAAAAACAGGGTGTCCCCAAACATTTGGACTGCAGGGAGGAGGATTAGGTGGAGGGTACCTGAGGTAACCACCAAAACGCCTGGGCCTGTGGCCTCGGCGGACTATGTTTAAATCCTCACAGCAACCTGCTCTGCATTGCTATTGCCACCACCTACGACCTGGTACCTACTAAATACTTGTAGCTGCTACTAGTGCTATGACGTTGCTGCGCCAACCAAGAACCACAGCAGCGCCGCGCCCTGATCAACAACATCAATGGAAGCAATAAGCCGTACGTACTCCCTGATTGCAACATCAACAATAGCAACAACGTCAAAATTACACCAGGAAATATTAGAACTAACAGCCACAACAACATCGGCAATAACGACATCCTAAAGGCGGCAGCGGCGCAAACAGAAGCTCTGGCAGCGGCGGCAAATGCGTTGTCAGTAGACAGCAAGCGTGTTTTGGGTTTCTGTGTTGTTCTTGTTCCTCGCCCGGTGGTGGTACAACAGTATCCGCAGCCGTCGTCGCATCATGTCCCGTGTCCGTTTGAGCCTGTCACCCTGTCGTGTTCACACTCAATTTGGCTTCTGCCAGCAGCTGCCGGCACAGGAAAACCAGCAGACGATGGGTAGCAGTTGCGGCGTTCAATAGCGGGGTCGAGGCAGCGATACCATCGCTACAATAGTGTCACACGAAGTACAACAATCCATGGCGCACTGAATATAGACGGATAGTACAAGAAAGCATTGTGTCAAGAACAGCAGGGCGTTGAGCTCCGTTGAGGTTCCCTCGGCTGTCACGGAAGCCACGCATCGCCGTGGACGTTGCCCAGGAGCTTACATAGATATGATATGAATGTATTCGGGTCTGATAGCACGCATCTAGCATGCATGCATCCTGAAAGCCTCGTGCTAGGTTTGGGATAACTAACGGTTTTGCTAGCCGTCATGTCCCAAATTGCTACTGTCTGAAATACCAACTCAGAATCCCCACTCTAACCGTTATTAAGGCAGGGGGTTATTTGATCAGGATTCGCGGCCTAGGGTGTCCCATGGAGACCAGAAAAAATCCAGCCCACAGCATTTCAAATGTTGATGACTGGCTGCCATGGCGAATTTCGTTGCCATTGACATCGGTCTCGCCGTCATTGTGTCAGCAGTAACGCCAAATTGTTTGCAAGTATGGCGCCTTCTATTTCGGTGTCGGAGGCACAAACTGGAGGATCTGCCCTACGAACGGCCTCGGCTTGATCAGACAGTTTACGTAGTGTTGCCCAGAAGTTACCACAAGGGCTATCCTTAGCAATAGCTTTTTGTCGTAGGTCCAGCGGGCATTTGTTCTCGCTGGTACGCAGCAGCAACTACACTTTGTGGATCGTGGTGGGGTACAACCCCCAGGCATTACTTGAATACGTCGTAGTTCAGTGTCATGTCTTCGAGTTGCTTGATATTTTTCGCGACCGGCGGAACTTTAACCCAGTAACCTCAGCACAAGCACCCAACCCCTCCACTGTATTCCTCCTGACCCCAGAACCGGATGTCCAAGCCGGGTTCTGGTAACCAAATCAAAGCTGAACCATCGAAGCGGGGACAGAACGGAGTTTAGGGCTTAGCGCACGGCATCGCACTCTTAGGCCCTAAGGCCCTAAGCCCGGGAAAGCCCACAGAGAGGTTTTGGAGCCTTCACCGTCCTTGACACTCCAGGAGTGATGTTCAACACGGGCTGCCAGTGCAAGTCCTGCAAGTAGGCATCGGCTGCTTTGCAGCCTTGACAACTTGAAGATTGTTCGAAGTCCAAGTTCGCTCCGTCTTTTTTGGGATCGGGGCTAGCCGCTAGCCGTTAGTGGTCGAAAATTTGCTTACACTTTTCAGGTACTGGCCCCGAGATGTTGGAACCTCTGCATCCCCTCAAAGCCCACATCCTAAGCAAACCCCAGTTGAGTCAAGTCAAAAAACCTGAAACCACCTCAGGCCCAAGTTCTTAAACCGTGGAGCCGTTAACCATAAAAACTATAAATCGCTCCAGGTCAACAGGCAGCTGCGCCGACTTTTGACCAAACTCGCGCGTCAAGTGACAAAGCTTTGCTCACGGGGACTTGGGTCACTGGTTGGCACTCTGCAACCCCTACCAGCTGGAGTCGAGGTGTCGGGGCTTCGGTTTTGGATTACGTGTTGAGGGTTTAACTGTTTGACGGCACTCTAGAACATTCTTAGACGTGCATCCATTCGGTTTGGCATGGAAATTCGGGGAGCTGCAGCAGCCTCGTGCAAGCGGATGCCCTCAAATCGTAAATCAGCCGGATGGTCCAAATCTTGAGCAGTGTTCGCAAAAGCGGGCTGCAGGGCCTGGCAGCTGGTCCTCCCATCACTTCGAGAAACCAGAGGAGGTGCGAGCTTTTGCTGCGGTTTCATATTGTTGTTGGCCTCGCCGTGGACAACTCTGCTATGATGAATGCCAGGAGTTTTACGTGAAATGGTTGACATACCCGATTCGCCCGATTCTTGCCATGACGGCATTGCCTTTCGACGGCTCAGTTCCTACACACCTACACACGGCTATAGACCATTCCAGCCGTAGGCCAGCTGTAGGATCGGGATGGCTTTGCGCTGCTGGTTTCCCTGCCTGATGGCTCTCAGCAACGTGCCTCTTCTTGCACATGGACATACATGGAACGCCCACGTTCCTCGCATGGTTATATGCTCAGGTGAAGGGCATCTTTTCCGTTTCGCCCGGCGAGTCTCACTGTGCAGACCGCGACGATCGGGGGACCTGCAGGCGCTGGGCGTTGGGCGTCTCCCCGTGCGTAGCATGAGACCTGGCACGGGCCAGGCAGCCCGAGGATGCCGAAGAGTTGGTGGCTCTGCAAGCCAAGGTCGTCTCTTGGCCTATGCCCCAGACCGTGAACACTCATCCCTAGGCAGCTGGAAAAGCCTACCTGCAACAGTGTGTCGCCTTGGGGGCATTTGCTTGCAAGGGGAAATGGGTGCACTACGACTTCGAGTTTGAAGTAGCATGAGGGGGTATGATTTACTGTGGTCTTCATGCTGCATGTTGTGAGACCAAGGAGAAGGGTCCATACTGGCGCCGCCAGGAGAAGGGTCCATACTGGCGCCGCCACCATTGGCGACGTGTTCATCCTGTCCGCCCTGGCCAAGGCTACTACAAGGCTGGGACTCTTTACACCTGTGCTTGTGTTGCCGTTTGGAAGGGCCGGTGTAGGTCGAGACGACAACGGAAGTTCCTGCACCTGAAGCGACTACAACTGAAGCGCCTGCAGCTTGGCTTCCAAGACAGAAGTTGTTCCGCAATGTCGATGTCCGTGCGCTTTCCTTGGCTGTGGTAGAGCTCCATCCTGCCCGGTCTAGCACGTGCAACATCCTAGGCTGGTAATTGAAATTCACAGATTTCACAGGTAGAATTTGCTGGTGGCCAGTTTAGAGTTTGGAAGGTGCAGCCGTTCTGGATCTCGGCCGCGGTGGACACCCCATGCAATAAAGCTTGCGGAGAGTTCAACGACGGCTTGGACGTTTTCAGGTGCGGAAAGGAGGAGATGGCTGCCATTAACTCCACGGAAGCAATTGAGGCTTTGGTTGCGGAGTTGGGCCTCCCGAACACCACCTGCAGCCAGCCCCCGAGCAACGGCCCCTCCAGAGACGGTGGAGGGAGCCCTTTCACCAGGGGAAGTCCAAAGCCGAACGATTGCTACTTTTGGGATCCAAGCAAGCCTGCAAGCGACGTCGACTGCGACGACGTTTCGGTCGACGGTCGCAGGCCCCTTTGCTACTGTGTTCCTGCATCTTGGCAGCACTCCTTGGGCTCCTTCCTGCGGGCGAAAAGATGCAGTTGGCGGCTTGTGGTGCCCGACCCAGGCGGCGCCGGCTGCTCGATGGCATCGCTTGCAATTGCAACGACTCTGTGTTTGAGGGTGTCTGTGTGTGGGTGTCGCAGAGAGCTTGCTTGGCAGTTGTCACTTATCATCCCAAGGCCGTCCCTGCTGCTGGGCTGCATCCGTACACGGGAGTTTCCGACGGGCGGTTTGGCGGTTGGGCCTGAGCCTTCAGGTTTCAGAGATGCTAGTCGGTAGGGCTTCAGCTCCTTGGGACACGGTATTGCGCCAGCCGCAGAGTGCAGCAAGTGATGCTGGGTGCATTGAGCTGGACCGCTTCATCTCTTTGAGATGTAGTCTCATTGCATGCTCCGCCCAGACCTGCGGTCTCTGCTCAGGATCCAACAGGTCCTTGGTTCTCGGCTGACAGACACCAGACCTGCAACGACCTTTGCATCTCCAAGAACTACACAGAGTGCGGCAAGGAGGAGATGGCAGCCATCAACTCTTCCCTCGCCTTGGCAGACTTGCTTTTCATTCTCAACCTGACCTGCACGCCCCCGGACCGCGGAAATGCCTTCAGAGGCGGTACTCCTGGAGGAAGTCCTTTCACCAGGGGTCCTCCGGAAACAAACGATTGCTATTATTGGAACCCAAACGAGCCTGCAAGCAATGTTGACTGCATTGGTTCAGTTGGAAATTCCGGTCGAAGGCCGCTTTGCTACTGTAAGTAGGTCCCACACGACCTGTGGATTTCAAGATCTCGACTCTGATGCCTGCTAAGCCAGGTTTTTGATTTTACTAGATATTAGATGCGACCAGGCTGAGGGTCTGTCGATCGCGCGGATCGTCATATCACCCCAGCCGGGCCAGCATCCGGCCACGTGGATGCTGTGCTAAACCCCCGCCTCTTGTAGGAAGAGTAGGGTAGGCATTGGGGCGATAGTGTGTGAAAACCTCTAATTTAGAACAACATCCACGTGCCACGAAGCCAGTACAAGCAATAAAGAGTCAAGCAGAAAGGGTGCCGTTCTTCAGATGGATAGAGGCGTGCATGTTTGCAAGCTGCATGTCGGTAGGAAAGTACCAAGATGAGTTTTACATGAAATGGTCGATATACCCGTTTCGCACGATTCTCGCCATGATAGCATTGCCTTTCGACAGTGGCCCCATTTCTATGCAGGCGTTTGGCCAGATCTTCCAGCCGTAGGCCCTTGGAGAAGCACTGCACCAGCTGTAGGATCGGGATGGCTTTGCGCTGCTGGTTTCCCTGCCTGATGGCTCTCAGCAATGTGCCTATTCTTGCACATAGACATACATGGAACGCCCACGTTCCTCGCATGGTTATATGCTCAGGTGAAGGGCATCTTTTCCGTTTCGCCCGGCGAGTCTCACTGTGCAGACCGCGACGATCGGGGGACCTGCAGGCGCTGGGCGTTGGGCGTCTCCCCGTGCGTAGCATGAGACCTGGCACGGGCCAGGCAGCCCGAGGATGCCGAAGAGTTGGTGGCTCTGCAAGCCAAGGTCGTCTCTTGGCCTATGCCCCAGACCGTGAACACTCATCCCTAGGCAGCTGGAAAAGCCTACCTGCAACAGTGTGAGCTCCCCTTGAGATGGGTGCACTGCGACTTCGGGATCCTTCAAGGTCGTCAGAAAGATTTGTTTGCATCATGGTATGATTTGCCCATAAGGAACCCCGAGGTACGTACTTACATACATCCCCCTCCACCAAAAATTTTTGGCGGGGGGGGGGGGGGAAAGTACGTACGTATGTACCTATACTCGCGTAGTAACTATACCCCCCCCCCCCCCCCCGCGGATGATACGCACGTACATACATACTTCCCCCTCCCCGTGCGACAGTTTGTCAGATGCATACCGATTCACGTAGTAACATGCTAACGTACATACTGATCCCCCCCCCGCGTACGTACATACATACTCCCCCCTCCCCCTGCGAAAAACCCCGAGGTACGTACGTAGATACATACCTCCCCCACCCCCCCCAAACAAAAAAATTTTGGCGGACCCGCTCCGTTTGTGGCCGCAGTGGAAGGGTTGGGGGAGGTACGTACGTATCCGTATCTACGTATGTACGTACCTACCTACCTGCCTACGTGTGTACCTGGCTATGCACCATACTACCGTACTACTCCCCACCCCCCCCGCAAAATTTTTGGCCGCAGGTTGGTCTTATGGTCGTATACATGCGGACCTCCCGCCAGGAGCGAGCATACTATACCGTACTAACATACTAACGCACGTACCCACCCCCCCCGGTTGCGGTACCTGCGTACATTCTGCTCCACAGGCCCCCTGTCCGACACTTAGTGGCCGGAGGCAGACAGGGTTAGCGGAGGTACGTGCATATGTAGGTATTCCCTACCTACCTAATATCGTACTAACATACTAACATACATACGGACCCACCCCCGGGTAGCACACATTCATACCCACCCCCTATCTTGTAACGTCTTTTAACTTACTAGCTAATATACATACCTGCCTCTCCCCTCCCCGGGTCCCGGGTAACGTACATACGTACGTACTCCCTCCCCCTATCTTCTAACATAGTAACATACTAACGTACATACCTACCCCCGCCCCCCCCCTGGGGATCCCTCGGGTACGGTACGTGCGTCCATCCAGCCCCGACCCTCCGTTGCTGGCCACAGGGGAAGGGCTGGAAGAGCTACGCACGTATGTACGTATGTACGTACCTACTTACCTGCCTACGCGGTACGCCGTATACTAACATGCTATAACGTACATGCCGAACCCCTCTGCGGGTAACATGCGTACAGTAGATACATACTCCCCGCCCCCCCCGGCAAAATTCTTGATTCTTGGCTGCAGGTTGGTACTGCCATACATACTAACATAATTACTAACGTGCATGCGGACCCCCCCCAGGGGAACGAGCATACTAGCATATACTAGCGTACCAACATACTATAACGTACGTACCTACCCCCCGCCCCGGTTGCGCTACCTGCGTACATTCTGCTTCCCCCCTTTCCGACATGTGCGTGCTGTCGCGTACATTCCTACGTACTGGCCTGGCTACGCGCTACGACGTGCTGACGTGAAATAATAGCCTATAGTAACGTATTTGCTCACGTGCGTACGAACATCCGTACATACATACGTACTGACGTACTCACGTAGTATACTGCTGTACTATAGCGTACTCAAGTACTAACGTACTTACGTACGTACATACATGCGTCCGCCCCCGGAGGTCACGGGTAGAAACATACATACATACCTGCGGCCTCCGCCCCTGCATTTTTTCCGAACAAGGCATGCTCAGATACTAACATACCACCCAGCCTAGCAGCTACGTGCTATAACGTACTGACGTACTGACTAACGTACGTACGTACGTGCCCAAGGTACGTACTAACGTACTGACGTACATCCGTACCCAAGGTACGTACGTACGTGCGTTACCACCCCGCCTGGGTTCTTACTGGATTTGCCCTAGCCACTAGTCTTCATGCTGCACGTGTTGACACAAAGGATAAGGGCCCACACTGGGGCTGGTGGGGTCGTTTCCATCGTGGACGAGGCTACTACAAGGCTGGGACTCTTTAAAGACCTGCTCGGCACTGTGTTAAGCTTGTAATGGTCGATGCAGGTCGAGACGACAACTGAAGCGCCTGCAGCTTGGCTTCCAAGACAGATGTTGTTCCTCAATGTCGATGTCCAGAAGCCTGCTGCCCGGTCTAGCACGTGCAACCTAGGCTGGTAATTGAAATTCACAGATTTCACAGGTAGAATTTGCTGGTGGCCAGTTTAGAGTTTGGAAGGTGCAGCCGTTCTGGATCTCGGCCGCGGTGGACACCCCATGCAATAAAGCTTGCGGAGAGTTCAACGACGGCTTGGACGTTTTCAGGTGCGGAAAGGAGGAGATGGCTGCCATTAACTCCACGGAAGCAATTGAGGCTTTGGTTGCGGAGTTGGGCCTCCCGAACACCACCTGCAGCCAGCCCCCGAGCAACGGCCCCTACAGAGACGGTGGAGGGAGCCCTTTCACCAGGGAAAGTCCAAAGCCGAACGATTGCTACTTTTGGGATCCAAGCAAGCCTGCAAGCGACATTGACTGCGACAACATTGGTTTTGCCGGTCGAAGTCCGCTTTGCTACTGCGTTCCTGCCCTTGGGCAGCACTCATTGGGTTCATTTGGGTCCAGGTTTGTTTTCACACGGGCGAAAAGACGCAGTTGGCTTGTGGTGCCCGACCCAGGCGGCGCCGGCTGCTCGATGGCATCGCTTGCAATTGCAACGACTCTGTGTTTGAGGGTGTCTGTGTGTGGGTGTCGCAGAGAGCTTGCTTGGCAGTTGTCACTTTTCATCCCAAGGCCGTCCCTGCTGCTGGGCTGCATCCGTAGCCCCGGCATTCACGGGAGTTTCCGACGGGCGGAGGTTCAGGAGAGGTTGGTCGATTTGGCGGTTGGGCCTGAGCCCTGAGGTTTCAGAGATGCTAGAAGCATGTATTGATTACCTTGTAATCAGGTACGAAATAGTCTCAGAGCGGTTAGGGCTTCAGCTCCTTGGGCCACTCTCATTGGATCCACTCAAGCGCACTCAAGCGCTCGAGAGGCGCTGAGATGATGAGTGTTTCGTGCTATCACCAAATGCTATGACCAAAACGGTTTCCACTCAGGATCCAACAGGTCCTTGGTTCTCGGCTGATAGAGACCAGACCTGCGACGACCTTTGCACCTCCAAGAACTACACAGAGTGCGGCAAGGAGGAGATGGCAGCCATCAACTCTTCCCTCGCCTTGGCAGACTTGCTGTCCATTCTCAACCTGACATGCACGCCCCCCCTCCCGAACAGCGGAAATTCCCCCTTCAGAGATGGTGGAGGAAGTCCTTTCACCAGGGGTCCTCCGGAAAGCAACGATTGCTATTATTGGGATCCAAACAAGCCTGCAAGCGACATCGACTGCGGCACCATTGGTCACCCCGGTCGAAGGCCACTTTGCTACTGTAAGTAGGTCCGACACAGCCTGCGGATTTCGAGATCTCGACATTGATGCTGCCTGCGAAGTAGTGGGCGCAATTTTAATCTCCCAATTTTACGTTAGTGCCAAAGCGACTAGGCCTTGTGACCGTCGATCGCGTGAGTCGTCAATTCGTCCAGCCTGGAGCATCCGGCCGCACCTCAGACGAAAGAAAGAGTCAAGCAAAAGGGGTGCCGTTCTTCAGATGAACAGAAGGGGCGTGTCAATTAGGACTGCAGGAGGCCGCGTGTGGGTAGGAGGTACAAAGGGGAGGCTGAAGCCTAGCAAAGTTGCTCCGACGAGCAACGTTTGAAGATGGCCTTTGCGGGAACAGCCTTACTTCGGAATCAAGCAGTCGAGGCAAACCAAGACAGTCGCAGCCCAATGCCATTCATTCGCTCTGAAGGCCTGGGACGAAGTCGGCGAGAAAACTCCAGCTCCTCCGGCACTGCTACCTGCACCCAAGGAGTCGGGAGAGGCTTTGGATGTGCGGCGGCTTTAGGTCAGGGCTTGCGGTGGTTTTGCCTGAGGGGGTTTCGAGATGCAGGCATGTTGCAATGGGGTCTACTCTTTTGTGTTTGGTGTGTTGCATGACATCGGTTCACGACGCCCTACACAGTAATCGCTTCTTTTTGTACATGTTTGTACTCCTGATGGAAGTATCGTGCAACATCGTAAAATAATACGCACGCCAGAACCTTGAAACCTTGCTGTACAAGGCACTTTCTCCGACAAGCCCTTTTGGAAGAGTTTGGCAAACTTATCAGCCCAAAGTTCAAAGGCTTCGGGCGCGGGGTCTAATAGCAGACTTTTGAAACCATCAACAGGTTGTATAAAGGGCCACAGGAGGTACAGGAGGTAGCTCAGCCTTGGGCTGCATTTGGGGCAAGGTTCAGTGTTTGCTTGTTCTTGGCGTGACTGCTCTTCTGTGCACAGCCAGGGCCAGTTCATGTTTGTCAACGCAGCTGCATGCCTCTTACAACCTGGCGAACATCGAAGCAGCCATTTGCAGGAGCCCACCATGCCGATCATCGCATCGGGGCAGTACGAGCCAGGCTTGGCACCAGAACGCCCCAGCCCTACGAAGCCGGGCCCAGACGCTAGACACCCCCAAACCCCTGAAACCCCTGGCCCCAAGCTCAGCATTTTCCCAAAACCTTCTTTCTCAGTCTCGGAGCACGAGTCCGGTGCATAAGTCCCACGTCGTGGTGTATAGGCCCCAATTAGCAGCGTGTCTGGCCCCCTCACCATGCTCATCGAACTTGCAGGCCATTCCGTTCTGGCTACAAGGGACCTTGCGCCTGCAGCTGTAGAGATCCCGGATGACAAGGAGCTTACTTGTCGGGTTGGGGGCGTCGTGAGCTCAAGTGCATCGCGAAATTGGTGTCATCTTTGGCTTCAGGCAGGTCCCACAAGCAGTCCTTGATTGCAAATGCCCTTTTGGGACTGGTGTTTGCAAGCGAAAACTCAAAGCCGAAGCGGTCAGAACATTCCGGGTAGCTGGGAACCCGAAACGAAGAATGCGAGCGTTCCGCCCCGAACTCGAAAAAGGCCAAGCCTGCACAGGAATCTGAACGGCATTTCCCGAGTCTCAAACATTAATTATTCTAATAATGCAATCCGAATCCCCGAGCGCCCGTTATCGAGCCCCAGGCACACCCTTTCAAAAATCCAAGAAAGGCCTTAAAAGAAAAGCAGAGGAGCCTTCAGCGGCTTCTCCTCCTCCTCCGGCACCTGCAGCTTTGGGTGGTGTTCCCAACAGAGTTCAGGATAAGACTCTCCTCCTCTGGTGCTGGGTAGCATGAACCCCAAAAAGGAACTACTATGGGGCCTTTGGGTAGGGCCCTCTTGGGTCGAAGGTTTTGGGCCCGCTGTAGAGCTTAAACAGAGTGTTGTGTAGGTCAGTAGGGCCGAGCCGTTTCTTTGTTGTGGCTCCCGAGAAGCTTATCCAGTTCTGCTCCAGGAAGCCTCGGCTCGGATGTTGTATCAATTAAGTGTTTTCTGATGTGTCGGACCCCTGAGCCGTTTATGTTTGGGGTAGTGTGTGAGCGAAGATTCAACGAAAAGATGTCTTAAGGCCCGAGCTTTGGCAGAGATCAGGCTCGACAGTTTAGCATGCAAGACACCACTGCACTAGGAATGTGGCTTCAGCAGATCCGTGTTCACTGCGGTCGTCAAACCTTCTCAGCAAACGCCGGAATTTGCTGAGCCCTTTCTCTCAAAAAGAGAAGAACTCTTCAGCCACCAGAAAGACCGAATGAGCAAAGACCAGATGCCCCTCAAGCCCTGAACCCTGAAATGTCTTCTGAAGTGTCCCACCAGGTGAAAGCATGCCGACACCCCTGGAGCGACGGCAGATGCGGCAGTTGGCGGCCAATTCAGTGCATGACCGAGTTGCAGCTGCTTGTGCCATTTTGGTTTGGGGGTTTGGGTTCACGGTTCAGGGATACCAACTGCTCGAACCGAGGCCTAGATTCTAGATAAGCCTCGAGGGATAGAAGGCCCAAACCCGCGATGCAGACATCTCAAGAACCCAGCCGCCATCCTTCAGACCCTTAGTGCCTGCATTTGCAAGACCTGCACCCACTGAGTCGTCGCCCTCGCCGCGAGAAGCTGTGTCCGAGGGCGCGACACCAGCAGGCACAGGCTAATATACAAACGTTGCGGCTGATCATGTTCAAGATGGTGGTAATTAATGACATAAAGCCGAGTGTGCGATCGTGTTTTAGCCACTGCATGGCAACACCCCATAACCCTAGAAGGCGCACGTCACCAGGCCCAATCGGCCCGGTTATTAGCTCCGCGGCAGTGTGGGGAAACGTTACCTGGTGTTTCCAAAAGCTGCATTGGCTTGAACTACACAGCGATTAGAAGCTGAAGTAGTGCAAGGAGTGGTATGTCTTCGAAAAAGCAGGAATTCAAGTCGTAATCAGGATCGTATTATAATGCCGTCGATAGTAATCATCAGTGCTGCATCTTTGCTCCAGCACCAGAACTCGCTTTACCTTACTCTTGATATGTCGAAGCTGCCTCGGTAGATAGGTTTGCACAAAGCTTTTGCCAATCCTATATGATACAAAGCTGTCCTTCTCATTTTGGATACGTAAGTGTCGTGGTCATTTCTTCCTGCATACAGAACTCCAGTGCCAGGATAAAGTTGTTGGAGGTCTGGCTAATTAGTAACATGAGCAATAGGTCCCCACATAGTTTTACTATCATAGACAGCGGCACCTTAACCGAATCATAAAGGCTCCCATATTGCTGTACGGGTAGGGCGTCAGAGTGCCAATTCCTGCTTGGAGGCAGCACACCCACTACGCCATGGCCTCGGCTGTAGCTCCGAAACCCATGAACTGGTACGCTTGCGTTAACGGGAGATGGGCGGCTCTGAAAGTATTGTATGTTGTAAGAGTCCGAAGGGATCCTAAACATAAGAACCCCAGCATAAGGACGGAGAGTCCTCAAGCAAGCCACAGACAGCTTCTAGACTTCCCTACCTGAGCTCCGAGAACCCGACATGCTAAATCCGAATACCTAAAGCCTTAAACAGTCAAACCGCAAAAGGCTTGAAGTCATACACTGTTGCGTTACGAATCCCACAGCTCCGTACTTGGATGTCGCTCTTGGTCTGAACGTCGTCCAAGGCACCACTGCTACAGATGCATAGAGTTCGTCATTCAAGATTTGGCCTTTGACTTACATTAACTACTACGATACTACGCCATGAGCCATCCACCAAGCTTGGTCCAGGCCCCAAGCCGGATCAGATCGCAACTCAGCACTTTAGTCCCGAAGCTGTAGTCTTTCGAAATGCTCAGCTCGGAACTGACGGCCGAATTACTCTCGTGGTGGGAGAAAAGGCTGCCAGATTTAGGCTCATGGTTGAGGGCTCGGATTGCGAAGGGTATTCGGAGTCGCTGTCAGCATGCCGACCCGAAAGCGTGACGGCGAGCTTTCGCCGCATCGATTTACCTGCGAAGGGCTCTTAAGGTTCAGCCCTAAACCCTCAGTTTCACAAAGGGCTCCGAAAGCCCATGAGCCCTAAAACTTCGAGTCTACTGGCCCTGTGGGTTGATGCATTGAGCTTCAGGGCTGAGATTTTTGAAGTCAGTAATGGTTGGAGCCTCGCCGTCATCTTCAGTGGCCCGAGGTCCTGAGATGCCGTTCCAGGGGCATGATCAGAGAATCATTCTTTGCACGCTGTCACCAAATCTCCACAGTCGGAATGCTAGCGACGGCAGCAACCATTCTGGTGGTCAAAACAGGCAAAAAAGACATGACCCCCAAGAGACCGAACAAGAATCGCGGGCGCTCCCGACAGCAAAGCTAGGTGCTTGGCCGCAACAGAACGCCTTCGGGACCGATTAAAGCAGCGGGCAGCTGAGACGTTGCTCTGCTGAGCGATAAGGAGCATCCTCAGATCCTCACCACCACAGTCGCAGACTTCCACTCTATCAATCATTTGTTCGATCAGCCGACAAATCTATCTCTCAATCACGGAAGCAAGGCAGCAGGCATTTTCATTGTCATCGTCATAACCATCGTCATCTATAGTCTTGAGTCATGCTGATAGCCGCTTGCCCTGTTGCAAGTATCACGCCGAATGTTGTGCAGTTTCCTTATGCAAAGAATCACGTCATCCAAACCGCTTCTGTGGTGGGCAAGGCATTCAGCCTCGTTGTTTCGGATACGGAGACTGTATGATGCTGGGATTTGAGAGCGGATGCTTTTAGGCTCTTGACTTCCCGCGCCATGTTTCCATCAGTAAAGCTTCCCTCCGACCTCTCCTAGCTGCGGGCATGTTCGGTGTAAAGCCCGGAAAGACTTGCGCTTTCACAATGATGATTCAGTGACGGCCCTGGGTTGATTCCGATTCCCTACACCCTAAGCCCTTTACCCCAAACCCTGGCTGTGAACAGTCCTGCCCAACACCCACCAATGACACCCAAGATTGTTATGATTATTCTTATTGGAAAAGCCTCAAAACACCTGCTGCTCAAAGCGGGAAACTGCCTCCTCTTGGACCTTTTTGGCCTCAGAAACCTTTGAACACTATAGCAGAATTCCTTCAAACCTGAAACCCTAAGCTCAAGATGGCCTAGAGACTATGCGACCATAGGGCTTAAGGGGCTTGGAGCTTCGGTGCTTCTGGGTCTCATGGTCGAGGTTCTGCCGGGCTGAGGGTATTGAGGCATGTAGCTGGGGAAGCTGCCACAGAGAGAGAGAGAGTTGTCTTAGTATCTGGATGGCGATAGGGGTGCTCAGCCCGATTTATTTGGCCTGGATGGAGTTCCGTCGCCTAGTGGAGAGCCTTGGTCAAGAAGACTGAGGTGAGCCGAGGGTATGCACGCTTCCACTCTTGCCACCCGCAACTGTCGGGGGCGCACTAGCGCGCGGCGTAGGGGGACTTGCCCCTACGCCATAGCCCTGGCGAAAGAAAGAGAGAGAGAGAGAGAGACAGAGAGAGAGCCTAAGTAACCCTGGCCAAAGCCTGACCTTCTCCAACAGGCGCGAGGGATCAGGAAGGACTGGCGAAAGGAGCCGACGACATTTAGCGCTGAGGGTTGGACTTACTCTGGTGTCGGAAGGGATTGAGCATAAGGTCGGGCATTTGGGGGCTTGATTCTCAGCTAGGGATCTGGAGCTGAGGAGCACCTTTAACGTCAGAAACGAAAGCACATGGCCCTCAATCTGAAAGCCAAGGCCAGCAGCTTGGTCAAAGCCCTGCCATCCCACACCTTGATCTGGACGATGGCTACTGTCTTGAAGTGAGACCCTGTTTTCCGTATTGGACAGTCGAAGCCGAACCACAACAACAGTCCTCCGCCTGAATGAACATGTTGAACCGTTGGAACCCAACACCCGAAGCAGGACCCGTTCGGTACCCGACGCTTCGTCGATGGTAAACTGGCAGGACAGCTCCTGTAAACTGCAGAGTGCAGCAGCCAGGTGTTACGGAGGGCAGCGGTTCGGCGTAAGTCTCAACCCGCAATTGAAAAAAACACTTTAAGTCGGGATTGATGCGTCTGTCATGTCTAAGTGTGTGCGCGTGGGGCGGGAAGGGGAGGGGGGGCTGGTTTCGCTTCGACTCGGCAGAAGGGACATTTCGGAAATGGACGGGACTGCGTTTGAGTCGGCCCGGGGATGTGATTGCTGCTGCAGACTTCTGCCGCAACAACTGTAACCACAGCAACAAAGTGGTGATGGCGCGACCGAGTATGAGTATGATCTTGCTGGGTGACAGCACACAACCCAGACACTGAAAAGACTCAATCGACTCTTCAGTCCTGGTTTGTTGTCCTCCCGTGTTGTTGTTCTTTAGACTCACGCTTCCGAGGACCGTTGTGTCACCCGTTTGATGCCATGGGGCGTGCTACGTTTGGAATGTGTCAAAGTCACAGTCTTCCAGCAGGATTGCGATTGGGCATTTAGTATCTCGAGCTTATTTTCCATTCCCAAGTGGAGACGCAGGACAGACTCCAATACTTTGTCGAGCAGATCTAGACTCATGTGGAGAATGGTCTGTCATACGTTTGTTGCTTTCACAATCACTGTTCAGAGAGTGCACAGATGATGGGGCATCGGACTCCATGCTCAGCTCCCAACAACTTGCTTAGCCAGTTGCTGTCCTCATTCTAATTACCTGGACTTTTCACAGGGATCAGGTAGACTCGACTCAGGCACTAAATATGCTGGCTTTGGTGATGCGCCGGAGTTCTTTCTCCTGCAGAACGTATAATCTAGTTCACACCCCATGCTGATCACATCAATTAGGCCCCAGTTCCCAGGCCCCAGCCCTAATAGTGAACCCGGGACCTTACATCTTTTTCCCTCAGCAAGTAAACCCCACGCTTCCCAAGCTCCACTCCTGGCACACCAAGCCTTCCATAAAGGAGCGTATCGAGCTCCGGCACAAGGAGGCTGAGGCCTTTTTTGGAACATGGGGGTAGGGGGATGCCAGAATCTGAGGTGGGGAGGGCCTCTACCATAAGGGCTGGCGAGTTAGAACAAGGGTCCTGAGATGCATGGGCACCTGTACTTTGTAAAGTTCTACTTCCGCCACTCATCTGGCCACTACGGCACTTACGCCACTGCTACTACCAGGACGGCGGCGGCGCTTGGAATTCTCCTGTAGGCCGAAACTCAAAACCCCCGTCCCTATGGGCCCTACCCACCCGAACAGGAGCAGCAGGTCCACGAAAGAGAGGAGAAGCAGCGGACTGCTGAGAGGACCGTGCAACGGGCTTTTCCGCTTTGGGAGTCTTGCGGGTTCAGGAGGCCTATGGGGCTTGCGGCCTTGCGGGGTTTCCCCAAGTTATCCGGAGAGTATGCTTGGAGTGACCATGTGTGTTGAGGTTGGGCTGCATCGGGTCCTGGTGGCGAAACGAGTACCAAATTCTCAGGCCCTATACTAACGCCCTAGAGCCGCAAACCTCAAACGGAAGTCTTGAATTGCCGGGTGTCTACACAGGTGTCGGAACTCAGCATGGCCAAGCAAGTTGTACCACAGACAGATGGTGAAGTGGGATTCTTCCAGACAGAACGCTGCAAAGATTCCGAAGGGATCACCCCAATTCTGACAAAGTCTGGCATGAAATGCCGAAAGACAACAAACGAACAGACAGTTTAATGCTGTGTTTAGATGCAGACATGCCATCCGGTACCACGGTCATATACAGCAGGCGGCCGGTCATCGCTGCTAAAGCCGCCTAGTTTCCATGAACATGTGAACATGGAATCGTCAATCTATATCGCCTCGGAGCCTCCACATCCAGGAGCACCAAGCGCAACGATGCCCTCAAACGTGTCATGGAGCGCACTTGGGATGCAGCGAGACGACCGCCGCGAGTGCTTCAAAAACAGGGGGGGCTCTGGATTTGATCGTCCCGCGTCTTTACTTCAACCCCAAGGAAACTACTAGTCTCGTGAAGTTCCGGTTGCTCATTGGCTCATGCATGAGATTTAATGTCAATTCTGTGCCGGTGCGGGAGAGCAGACGAAGCCGCCGAGAGCCCAAACTCGCGTCGAGACTGGTTGAGGTGCGAGGCTCCAGCTCGCAGAGTCTTTCAAAACTCAGAGCTCAACTGAACCGAGGAACCCCCCGAACTCATGCTAAGCCCACTCTGCATCCACCAACCTGAGCTGCAAACTACAGGCCAGCAGCAGTACAGAAGCAGTAAATCCAAGTCCGAGCGCTTGGGCAGAGGCCGCGAACAGCGTCAAGCAGATGCCGTGGCACTGGGCTCCGAGGCTTGCGAAGGATGAGCAGTTGCTATAGGCTCTTACTTGCGATGCTTCTAGATTGATTTCGCACTTTGTTCTTTCGGACCTGAGTCTCAAGAGACTGTACGGCTTGGGGAAACTTGATCGTAGAGGCACGCATATGAATAGCTCACAGTTGTGTTCTTATTGTCCATGCCTGGTTATGCAACTAGACTCAGTAGACGTTGTCATTAGCATGCATTGCAAACCTAAGCATGATAGCAGATAGCAGCACATAGCAGCACCATGAAAGTATGTATACATATCGTATACAACTGCGAAACCGATGCATCATTGTCTCTGCAGGTTAAACAGACCGGCATTAAGAAGGCCAATGATGATGACGCCAGCCGGAAACACAATCACATCACATGATCTAGCATGATCTGTAGAAGCATATTTCCCTAAAATCAGAATGTGCAAGGGCACAAACCGTAAGGACACTGTAGAATGCAACGACTGAATACTGTACTACTGGAAAAAGCCCTACCGTCAATGTTCCACTCGCAATCTTTACACATAGCAGATACCGTCAACCCACAATCCCACGCCGCCTAATCGCTTGCAACTTGTTGCTGGTGCCCTCCGAAGGCGTAGCTGTTCATGGCATTTCGGCTGCTGGCTCAGCACCTGGCCTGTGGGCTCAGAGTTTCTTCGAGTCCCAGCAGCCAAGGGCCTAACGAGCGGCAGACGAAGTTTCTGGTGCTTTGAATTTTTAGCTGGTAGCTGCGGGGGTAAGGAGTGTCTGGCGTTTGAAGATGGAGCAGTCTAGGTCTGTGATTCAGATGTTGTACATGGGTTGCAGGGTTCTTGTTGGGGCTTGCGGTGTCTTTTGCTTTTATTCTGTTGCCGACCGTCAGGGTTGAGGCTCTGCCTGGGCTTATGGTGCCTTTGCAGGGCGTTGTGAGGTTTCGAACAGTGCTTTGGGGATTTAGTTTTCAGATTTCAGACCAGCCCTTGTGTTTTTTGCATTGTGCGTCGGGATCGGGATTTCAATCTCTCGGAAGTTCAACGCGTTCGGTTTGGGAGGGGGAGTGGGGGGGGCGTTTCTGGGCTTCATGGGATCCTCGAATGTCTGAACCTGAAGGATTTACAGGGCACCCACTCATGTACGAACTCATTGCCCATACCCCCTGGCCACGGCAGCTTTCGGCCCAAAGCCCTTGCCTGGCCACTGGCTTCGTGAAGCCTTGGGAGGTGCCGGGTGGCACAGGGGTCGGTCCCACAGCGTGTGGTTTCAACTGCCTTGGGCTTAGCCGGCTTTCGTTAGGACTTTAGCAATGAGAATCTTATAACTATAGTGAGGGAACGCGACAAGTACTTGGTCTAGTCACCGGATGTTCCATCGGCAGTGGAAGAGAGATTGAGCTTGAGATTTTTGTCGCTTCAAGCTTGAAGAGGTTCGGAAGCTTGGGATATTCGGGTTTTGCACCTTTGGGCATTAGTAGTTTGTGGTTTTGGGACATGTATGCATAAAGGTGCCGTACCCTTGGGCCAAAATGCCAATCTTTCAAGTCGAGGCTCAGACATGGCCGCAGGGATCCCGCCGCTCGTAGTGTTTGATCCTGGGCCCCACAGCCTTAGCATTGGCATCATGTAGCTCTCTGAACGATGCACCGCTTCGACTCCGCAACAAGGGACCTTGCTACTGTCGCGATCCTTCTTGTCATACTGACTAAGGCTGGCTGCATAAGTAAGAGCAGAGGGGAGAGTCTGAACCACGCAAAAGCTTGGAGGCCAAGGAGTAAGGGTTTGCGGGCAGCTCCCCAAGGCCCTTCGGTTAAGTGTGTCTGTGCAAGTACTTGTGGCATCGGCATAAGCACGCGACAGCTAGTCCAACTGTTTGCACATGAAGCATTTCGGGTGGTTGCCGCTTGTGGTTCGCGCAAATCCATGGAACCGCGATTGGCAAAGTAGAACAATGCTGACTTTCAAAGGCTAACACTGCTTCTCGCACTTATGGCCCAGGTGCTGAATCCCTGAGCCCTCAACCGTAGACCCTGAACCCTCAGTCAGAGTCTTCTGAAGCGCACGTGTTTTGCAAGATGCTGTGCTAGCGGCAACCTCTCCGAAACAATCGCACATAGCCAAGCCAAGCTGTGCCCAAGTCTTGCAAAAAATGTAAAAACCTAAAGGCGCGAATCCCGCCAAAAGCCCAATTAGGCTAGCTTGATATTGGGGCCGTCATGCTTGAGCCAAACCCATATGTATGCCCAGCTGCCTCCTTACCCTCTCGAAAGATTTCTTTGATAGCGGACGAGGCCCATGTACTACTCACGGACCTGGTTGCTGGCGCTGCAGGCGGTGTTGCCGTGCGCGCAATGGCGGCTTGGCAGTGGCTAATTACGTTTCGGATTCAGGTTCTTTGGGGGGGGGTGGGGGGGGGGGGGGGGAAATAGTGGTTGAGAGACTTGCGACGCGTGGAGGTGCTCCGACAGTAGAATTTTGTAGGAGGAATCGTAACAAAGGACCAAAACCTTCGAAATCGGTTTAGGCTACATATCACCTGTTTTCGAAGACCTGAACTCCAAACCCTTAACCCTTCACCGGTAGAAGACTATGCCGTGCAGCAAGAGCCAAGGCTAGCTCCGGAAGGTCTCGGCTGGCAGAAGTGGCCTTGGCATGGCTTGCGGAATGGATCTCTGAGATTCCCGAACCTGCTTAGTGAGGAATACGTACTTTGGGATGATGCCAAGGATCCTTCGGTCTATAGATTGAGGTCAATTCCTTAGCTCAGGTGCTTCAAAGTCTCTGGATCTGAGCCTTGGGACCTTCTAGGGACGAAGGCCTCAACAGTGGGCAGAGTCTAACAAGCGGACAAGCCAGGATGGACAGCGTGCCCCCATGGAAGCCCCACACAGGGAGCTCCATGTGCTGCATAGAGCAATGCAGGGATGTCGAGTGATAAACCCACCGAAAAACTCTCGTTGTGAATCGGGGTGCTTAGCAAGACGGGGATGTGATTCTGAGAGCACGGGGAAGTTTCGTGGTTTTGCAGGTTTCAGGTTCAGCTGAATACTTCCAAACCGAAACAAGTCTGATGCCGAGTTCTGACGAATGCTGTGGGCTTCGAAGGCTGCAAGCTGAAGGCTTCTGCGAAATGCCAGTCCCTAAACCCTAGATCTCACAGCTCAACTCCCAAGTAAAGAACCCTTACAGTCCGAAACTACGGTGTCCTGCACCCAGGTTGACTCAAAGACACCTCCCTCCTCACCCTCTGAGGCATCGCAGCCCCCTTGTCTGATGGCAGCATGCTGTTGCAGCTCGGTTGCGTTTATGGTTAGAGTTTAGACATGTCCAGACCCGTCTGTACCCAATCATGTTCACTGGCAGCCTCCCTGCTATGATTGTCATGATCTTTCCTACAGGCCTTGTCGTACTTGTTGGTGCATTGTTCGCAGCGGGGTCTTAAGATCGACAGATTTGATTTCACAAACAGCACCGGTGTTTTGCGTACGCACTACAAACTTGCCAAGGTTGCAGCACGCTCAACGACGCGTAAGCCTCCAAGTAGGATTCAGATCGACGCAGCTTCAGTGTAGATTACGATGGTTAACCAGTTTGAGATTTAGTGCGGCTTGGGGCTGACGGACTACTTCGCGAGTTTGTCCTTAGATTCTGGCCTGTGCATCTTGTCGACGACATGTGACGGGTCTAGTGCACGGGTCTGAGTAACTCTGAGTACTTGAGGATTCTTAGCCACATAGCCCCTAGACTGACTGCAAATTCGAGGCTGACCTCATGGCATGATTTGCTATATCTGGCTCCTATACCCTTTACCTGCAAGCCAGGATCGGTGGGCAGGCAGGAAGGCCTGGCATTTGTTTGAACGTGTTGCCAAATGATTGTGGCGGTTGAGGTTTGCGTTCCCGTCTGATGCGGTTGCACTGAATGTTGTTTACCGGTAGTTGGACTGCTCACATTTGGGGAGCTCTGGTGTGATATTGTGATGTCAACTTCGTATAACTTATATGATTCGGAGTGGTTTGGGATTTCCTGTCTACATGGATTCACGAAATCCAGGTTCGGCTGGATCGGTCACGTGGCATAGAGTGACAGCATCCTTTGTCGTTGACGTACAGTGTCAACATGGACATGATTTTATATGGTGTTTCTAGCTATGCCTTTGCACCAGGACGCACTAGCCAATCGACATGCATCACCCGCTGGACGTCCGTGAGATCTCTGAGTTGGATCAATAGACAGCCAGTCGATAGACGATAGAGGCTCCTGGGACCGTGCATCTTTGTGGACTCGTGACAAGGGATGATGCACAGATCTTGGACACCCACCACCACATCACCACCCCGATCTGGGAAGCCGCTTCTTAAGGTCCCTGCCCGTGAAACAACCACTAAAAGGGAACCTTCGGTGTACAACCATCTTCTTTGACCGAACTTCTCCAACCGGCCGAGCTCCGGACCATCGCTGCCTAGGCCTAGGTATGGTAGAGTTAAGAAGGAGCATCTGAGCATCATTGAACCAAAACAAAAGGAACCACCTAAGCCAACGACTGGTGGCCAGGCACGGTGGCGGCCATTTCGATTGCTTTAACTGCACCAGCGACGTGTGGCAATTTAGGCAGCCTGGGCATGAAGTCTGTACAGGTTTGGGCTTCGGCAAGAGCTTATTGTGCGTGTAAAGCTTTTGTGATTTTGGGACTGTGCTCTTTGAAGCCTTTGGTCGAGTGCTCATTCAAGCCGTCCTTTTTGGCTGGCACTGAGCACACCCCAGGCCCCAAAGGCGTTCGCTGTCGTCTTTATGCCGGGGGCGCTTCTCTGTTGCTCAGGGGCTCCTCAAGCTCGAAACCTCAATGCTGCGATCGTTGTTCTTGATACGAGCGCTCCAGCGTTTACAACTTATTGTCGCTCTCTTGCCAAGCTTAGCATTCGATTCGCATGTGCATTCAAAGTGCGGCCTTAGGGACTTTAGGTGTATAGGCGTAGACAGTTGAGCGCTGGGTCGAAATCGTCCCTGCCGCACTCGATTTACTCCTCAGTACTAGCGGGATGAATCTCATGGCAAAGGTTTGTCTATATTGTCTTCCTGTTGCTACGATCACCTTCGTTTATGAACATCATGTGTTGCCGCTGGATCATGAGTGGGCACAGGGAACATACTCTGCTTGATTGCATTATGGTGTTCGCAGTTATTTTTCAGTGTTGGCTCAAAAACCTTAAAGTGTAAAAACTGCTGAATCGGGACTTGGCGCTAAGTAAGAGGGCCAGACCAATTCGATAGCATCTGTAGTTCAGCGGCGGCACGAACGACCCACACCCAACATTGCGGAGGCATCAGAAGGCCGAGTGGATTGACCACTCCAAGGACAGTAGGTTTGGTTTTGTGGTGGGGTTTGGCAGCCAACCAAGGGCTTGCCGCTTCGAAGAGTCAAGCGTTGGACCCAAACCCTCAACTTCTAAATTTCCGTGCTTCCGAAAGCTCTGCACGGACAATTGGTCTGCCTTCTGAAAACGGATGTTGAGAATATTTGAATGTTTTTCCCCTAGACCCGATGAGCCTAGCAGGCAGTTCAGCATGTTGGAAGTTTGGATTTGCTCACGCCGAAACTGATGGCTAGGGATCGCCGTCCTGCGTTTGTTTTTGGAGGTTAGCTCCACGTTTGCGCGTATTTCTTGGGTTTTTGAAGGGCTGCTGTAGTTAGTTGATAAGATGTCTGAAGAAAGTCAACCTGTACCTTTCAGTAACTTGAAGGCCGTGAGCCCTGACATGCTGATCGGATGGCTTGAGGATTTGGTTAGGGCCGGGCCTTAGCCCAGGATGCACTTTGATCCTCAGATCCGGATCGGAGCCTCAGTCGCTGGATGTTGCATCAGGCTTGGGAGGTCCGGTGAAAAGGTGTTACTGGCTCGAAATGATGGTACGATGCGATATTCAAGTAATTCTCCGTTATTTCGTCCCGCATGCTACGATATGTACAAGTGGGTGCACGATGGCATGACGTCTGCTATTTTCTTCCAGCATCCTGCAGCTGAGAGGATGTCCCGTGGGATCCTCGTTGGGGCCACTCCGTTGTCACTCAGGCAGCCTCCCTGGGTTCAGGGTTTCGAAACAATTTGTTGAAGTCCCTGTCCTCTGTGTTTGCTTAGGGGTATTTAGAAACATTTCCCTAAGAAACATCTAATATTCTAATTTTTGCTAGGGTTCTAAGTTCAGTATAGTTTATGAGTCATGGTAGCTGCTCTGGGGCTCTAGGGTGTACGTCGAAGTGACCCAAGCCGTCGACAAACCAACCAGTCCAGTACAAATTCGACCTTGTGTCACCTCAGAACTTCGGAGAGGGGTGTCTGCGGTCCGAGAGTATGGGAAGGTTGTATATTCTGGAATATCGTTTTATGTACTCATGATGTCGACAAAAATACAACTACGATGTGGCCAACCAACACGCTAACAACTAATTCATCAGGCAATATCAGCACTACCTTTGTCAGGTGTGGGGGGTTGGCTTCCAGCTCGGGCTGTCAAATGGGCAGAGTGGAGTGAGATGCGACAGCAACAGCGCGAAAGGTCACCGACCGTGATCCAGCATAGTGTCAACGTTCCGAGCCGTAAGCCCGATGACCCGACAGATCTGTAGACTTGGACACTACACACCGACCTGGCACTTTCACAGGCCAATGTCCGAATACAGAATCGTGGAGAACTGGTCTTAAACCTGAAAGGCGGTTTTGCCCGAGGGTGGAAGCTCTGAGATCCGGGGTCCCGGAAAGTGTGAGCACAATTGAAGGAATTAGCAGCCTCATGCCTCAGGCTTGGGGAGTACCTGTCGTGGCACTTGGACGGGTTCGTGTTTCTTCAAGCACATGGTGTGGCTCAAAATCTTCGGGCTTGTAACAGCGGCCCCGCACGGAGAGCTGTTGCGAGACGGCTTGCGCGACAAACATTTCTCAAGTAGAAGTGCAACAGACGTTTGTCGCAGAGCTGGCGCAGCAAGTGTTTGTACAAGGATGGACGAGGCCATGAACAAGCCGGATTGTTGAGCCATGCCCATGTCTAGTGTAATTGTGTTGCGCATGAATCGTTAGTCACGGTCCTAACCAACTGTGGTGATAATTCTGGAAAAGCCCTAGAGATTTTCCAGGCTGACGACACGGTGTGGCTCTTCTTCGGCTGCTGCGAGAAAGGCCTCGTGAGTGCAACACGCTCAAACCCCGACCACAACGACAGGGACACCACCGGAACACGATTGGGGAAACACCGACTGGCAGACTCGGGACAACAACCAGCACATCGACCGAAACCGAGTAAAACGCCCGGGACACTGTGGACACCGGCTTGGACGCGATCAGCACACCGACGGGTCACTGGAACACTACCTGGACATCCCGATCGGGACACGCAGAAAATCAGTCTAAGTCCGCTGCTCCAGATCACTCTTGATGTTGGTTTAGCTCATGCATGGTTGATACTGTCACTAGCTACGAGGATGCATCAGTAGTGACATGGTGGTGCAGAAATGAAATCAGCTCGACGAGAAGTGTTATCGTCGAAATTGCTTGCGACTAGTCTTTCTATTGCATAATGCCACTGTTTCATGAGTACCACTATCACAAGTCCGATCTGGCTGTTAGTCTCATTGTCCGATGTGCAGGGAAGCCCACTGTGATGTTGCGTGACGTTTGGAGCTTTAACCCAATGCCTCGCCCTCAGTGGCTTCAAATTGAGATTCTCAGGGCTGCAGTGATCCCGTGATTAGTTGAGTTAAGGCAGTTAAGGGTTTGGGATCACTCCATGACAACATCAGCAGTGCAAAGAAGAGCTTGTTTCTTCGTGCGAGCCTGGTCTTGCGATGGCACGGCCTTGCAGTTACCTCCAAGGAAAGGTTCGGCCTGGCGGAAGATTGAGTCGCCGCCTCCCTTCGAAGGGATTCAGGCGACATCTGCAGCCTTAACAGGCTCCGGAGGGATCTGGGGCTTAGCTCTTGAAGGCCAGAGTCTCCGCTGCAAATTGCGGGGTTACCTGGACAGGCTCCGACGTCTGGTTCGTCGGCGGCTGGTCGCAGCAACGCGGCACGCTGTCGCAGGTGGTTCCGAGTGCATTGGAGTTGCGGATTCTGCGCAGGTCGAGATCTTTGGTTCTCACGACGGACTCTCAAACAGCCAGAACTTGCAGATAAGCAGACACAGATAGTTTCTCCAATCTTTGCAGGGCTTAAGATCTAGGAATGGGGGCATTCGTGGCGTAAAGGTAGGAGTAGAAGCGGAAAGCATCGTACACTGCTGCTGGAGAGATCTGCAAATCATTCTTTAGACAAGGGAAGCTTGTTGCAAGACGGTCGGAGTCCAGGTACTCATCTTATTCTCATCTTTAAGCTGGTTGGGGCCATGGGTACCATCTCGATACGCCAAACCTCCAGTGCGTTTCACTGTGTCGTAGAAACCCATCCTACAAGGCACATCCCGAATCGTGAGTCCTGGGGAGGTGGTAGTCTTCAACCTGGAGACGCATCTGGGCTGTACTTCGGGGGTTCTTGGGTTGAACGTGCGGAAGCTTTCGGGTTGACTATTGGCGGAAGGAGATTTTCGTTTCGGCATGGGTTTGTTGGGTTTTGGCGTCCTGTTCTGAAAGGCAGTTGACATTCAGTGGAGGTCGTAGTGGTAGTCATAGTCGTAGTGGTACCGTAGTAGTTGTAGCAGTGGAAGTAGTAGAAGTAGTAGTAGTAGTAGTAGTAGTAGCAGTAGAAGTAGTAGTAGTAGTAGCAGCAGTAGAAGTAGTAGTAGTAGTAGTAGTAGTAGTAGTAGTAGTAGTGGTAGTAGTAGTAGTAGCAGTAGTAGTAGTAGCAGTAGTAGTGGTAGTAGTAGTAGTAGCAGTAGTAGTAGTAGTAGCAGTAGTAGTAGTAGTAGCAGTAGTAGTAGGTAGTAGTAGTCGTCGTAGTAGTAGTAGCAGCAGTAGTAAGTAGTAGTAGTAGTAGTAAAAGCAGTAGTAGTAGTAGCAGCAGTAGTAGTAGTAGTAGTAGCAGTGGTAGTGGTAGTAGTAGTAGTAGTAGTAGTAGCAGTGGTAGTAGTAGTAGTAAAAGCAGCAGCAGCAGCAGCAGCAGCAGCAGCAGCAGTAGTAGTAGTAGTAGTGGGGTAGTAGTTGGGGTAGTAGTAGTAGTAGTAGTAGTAGTAGTAGTAGTAGTAGTAGTAGTAGTAGTAATAGTAGTAGTAGTAGTAGCAGCAGCAGCATGAGTAGTAGTAGTAGTAGTAGTAGTAGTAGTAGTAGTAGTAGTAGTAGTAGTAGTAGTAGTAGTACAGTAGTAGCAGTAGGAGTACAGGAGTAGCAGCAGCAGCAGCAGTAGTGATAGCAGTTGTTGTTGTTCTTGTAGTAGTCGTCGTAGTTATAGCACTGTAGCACTATAGCCGCAGCGGCAGCAGCAGTAGTAGAAGTAGTAGTAGTAGTAGTAGCAGCAGCAGCAGCACGAGCAGGCACGAGTAGTTGTAACAGTAGTAGCAGGAGCAGTAGCAGTAGCAGTGGTAACAGCAGCCGTGGCTATGGCAGTGCCTTGTTCTGTGGCTGTGAAAACCCCCTTGCAAAACAGAGGTTCATAGCCCACTATCCGAGGCTGAAGTGGACCATGAAGAGCCCGCATGGGGCTGCTCCATGGGACTCGCGGGTGGGGCCGGGAGATTCTGGTTCAGCTCTATGAAGACAGCATAACATATGACATGCACACGTACATACATATATATATATATATGTATACATGTGTGTGTTACTGTAAACTTATGCACATGCATTATACGTATATGTATATGTATATGTATATGTATACGTATATGTATATGTACATGTACATGTACATGTACGTGTATATGTATATGTACATGTATATGTACATGGACATGTACATGTACATGTACATGTATATGTATATGTATATGTAATGTATACGTTTATGTATGTGCGCATGCATCGGTATTCACGCGCACATACATGTATGTTTATATATATATATATATATATATATACAAATACATACGTGTATAGGTATACATAGAGACAGACAGATGGATAGGTAGATCGATAGAGATAAAGAGAGAGACAGAGATAGCGACATTTATATATAATATAACATAGTATAATATGATATAGACACCTAGATATACGAACATGCAGCTACATGGACATATAGGGATATAGATATATAGATATATAAGTATATAGTTATATAGACATTTAGACTGAGGATATATATATATATATATGGATATATGGGTACCCCCCTATATGGGGTCCCCTGGGTTGTTGCACACCTAAACCATTAAACCATTAAGCCAATCCTTTCCCCCAGTGGACCCAAACCAATAAACCATTAAACCAATCCCTTCCCCCAATGGACCCAAACCAATAAACCATTAAACCAATCCTTTTGCCCCATACCACTAAACCATTAGACCATTAAACCATTAAACCAATCATTTCCCCTATAGTGAGAGACACATCCCTGTATGGGCCGAAAGCATTGGTTTGATGGTTTAATGGTTTAGTGGTTTAGGGGCATTGGGGGAAAGGATTGGCTTAATGGTTTAATGGTTTGGTGGCTTAGTGGTATGGGGTAAAGGATTGGTTTAATGGTTTAATGGTTTAGTGGTATGGGGCAAAAGGATCGGCTTAATGGTTTAATGGTTTATTGGTATGGGTCCATTGGGGGAAAGGATTGGTTTAACGGTGTACTAATTTAATGGTTTGTTCATGGTTTAATGGTTTAGTGATGGGTCTAGGGCTGTCTACTACGCAGGTGTCCCGGTTATAACCGGGGACAGAGGTTATAACCAGGCCTGTGCCGCCGCTACTTCATCAACACCTAAATCCAAACGTTCGAAAGTTTCGGTGTTTCAGTGAATGTAACCGCAATGAAATTAAACAAGGACTAGAAGAATAGAGGGTCCGAGGTAATTGGCATGTATTCGGTTGCTGAGGCATGATGCAGTGCTCTGTAACAAACATAATTCCGGGGACCATGTGCGCATTCCCCAACTTTAGCGGAAAGGCTATATGGCGGACTTTACATAATGGTCTGTCCGTTCCAGTACATCAGGTTTATGAGATCAGTGTGCACATTGAGAGAATAGCTGCTAACGTGTCACTCACCCAGGAATCAAAATGCGCAATATGAAGGGGCTCTATCGGGATTAAAGTAGGTCAGTAAGTGTTGTCAACATTGGAATATCATGGTACACAGAAAGTTGAGATACGACTGATACGACGTCATTGTAGAAAAAAGACAGTATTTCAAAGTTTACAGCGTGGTCAGGTTTCGTCACTTCGTACATAGGCAAACTGGTTGCAACGTTATGTTCAAACATCGTTCCAAAGAAGCCGGATGTCGACGAGACAAAACTGATAAGAATATGTGTGGTGAGCGAAACAAAATTTGCAACTTGCAAATTGTTAGGTTTCCTCGCTCGGTACGTAGAAAATTCCTAGTCCTAGCACTGCTATTTCCAACTACATGGATGAACCTCTTTCGAGGAGTGATTCGGTGTGTGGTTACCACTTTTTCTAACACGAGGATCACGTTCTGGACTGGGAACAATGGCTTCTATTCGACCTTCAGTGAATATTCACAAGAACACAAACAGAAATTCGGACAAGCTAGATGTAGCCTTATGGTTTTCAGTCGGCTTTACGTGATGGTTAAAGTATGCTGATACAAAAAAACACAGGCTTCATCACTCAGCATATAGAGACAGTGCGCGTCCTAAGAAGCGACGCTTCATGTCGTCCCCCAGGAAAAACACTATACAACGTTTGCTAAGCTTGTAGTATGCAAGTTTTCAAGTGTTGAGTTTTGGCTTGGGGCAGCCGTCATACAGAATTAAGGAATGCACCACTCAAATACACCTACCGGATATACCAGTGTTTAAAAGCAATCACATAGGGGCACAGGGATATGTCATTGAAAGCTATCAGTTTGCCAAAACGTCATAGCAATGCGTCCAACAACAGTGACTTTGGTGGGATTGCGGCATTACAGTACAAAGATGGAGAACTTTTCGTTCCAAAATCTAGTTCGCGATAAGGAATGACTGAAGCAGACTCATGACTACAGCGCGCTTGTTGGAAAAAACTGAAATACAGCGGTTTAGATACAGTCACACAAAGATGAATTACGAAGATATATCGACGGCTTCAAGGCAAGGATTTTAGCACATTGTAACAGGGTTTCGACGAGGGTGTCATAGAATTCTTAGCGTTGTGCGGGTTTCAGCATTCTGAAAGCATGGGTTGTTGCAACTTCCCAGGTTAGTCTTCAAACCGGATATAATAGTGTAGTCGATGACGTACACCTGATTATAACCTAGTCGGCTGGTTATAACCTAGTCTGGTGGTTATAACCGAGTCAGTTGGTATAGCGAAAAACATAGGGGACCCCAAATAGGGGTGCGCCCATATATATATATATATACATATATGCTACCCCCCCGCCCCAGAATCAGCGCTTTGGTTGTTTGTACGGTACTGTGTACTATTAAAAATGTTGTTCCAACCCAAACAGTCTGCTTGGGTAGATGCACGCAGAACATACGTGCAAGTTTGTGTTCTTTTGCAACACGACACGCAGTCGTGTACGAATGCATGCCGTGTGTGAAAACTCAAGCGATTAAATGAAGGAAATGCAGGATGTAGGATCTAACAAATGACAAATTTCTGAACAAATGGAACGTTGTTTAGAGAGGAACTTATAAAAGGAACGGAATACCTTTTGGAATTCCCCCTTTGCATACCCTATAGAATACCCACAATTCCACTGATTTGCCCTATATATATATATATAGATATACACACCTTATAGAACACCATCTGTAATACCGTGTAGAATATGAAACCACCTATATATGATCCCGCACGCCGTATAGTACAGATACCCTATACTATACAGTACACTATATACAATACCCTATAGGATGCCCTTTAGAATACTTCCGCTATTGCCGTTTGGAAACGTTCATACATATTGCCTTACTATAGCATACCCGAATGCCTTATTGGGTACTCTATCGCCTTCAGAATACCACATAATACACTTCGAGGGATACCAATGTTTATCTACCTCATAGAATACCTTATACAATAACATATGGGACACCCTGTGGAATACGACATAGAATACCTTGCAAAATACCTTATGGAATGTACAATACCCTTCATTAATCGTACGTCTTATGGAAGACCATCTGGAATACTCTATAGAATACCTTGAGAAAACCCCCTATGGCCCTATGATAGCCCCTCTATACCGCGTATATACCCCAACACTCTAACACTGTACAGATAACTTGTCGAATAAAGGGTATGTAAAAGGACAATCCGCACGAACCCAAGATCTGGGAATCCCCCCGTACAACTGTAGCTTATTGGGTAAGATGTTTCCAGGAAAGGAGTCAGGAATCGAATAGAATTTTCCATAAATTACCTTACAACTTCTACGGACCTTCAAAAGTTTCATATGGAGTAACCTATATAATAGATTATAGAATACCCCCCCCCATATACCTTACATGCATCTTATTGAATACAGCTTATGGATTACCTGAATACGTTCTACAATACAACTTTTACGTTTATTTTTATGCCTTGTAGAATTCCTTGTACACCGCCTTTCGGAATACCCTTTTATATGCCCTAAGAATACATTACATCGTATGCCCTTTATAGACCTTACAAAATACCAACTGCAATACCCTATAGCCTACCTCATACAATACGTCCTCTGTCTGATACCTTCAGTATACCTATAAAAACCTTAACGACAACCCTATATAGAAAATACTTTTGGAATGCACCAGAGAATGCCTTGCAGAAAATTTTACAAATATTACTAGTAAGGACACAAACAGGAGAATAATACTACATAGAATGTTTGCTATATGCCCAATGTGTACCTTTTCTAACCCTTCCGATACCAAACTTTGTAACTTTTGAACTTTTATTCTGGGTGTAGTATATTATATATACACCAACATATAATTGAATCCTCTAATTCGGGGTTAGGGGTTCTGTCTCTGCAGCAAGCTGTTCAGCTGATGACCCAACCCTACCCTGACAACCCCAAACTTGACCTGCCAATTGCCTTAAACTTAAACCCTTAAAGCCGTGCCCCCCTAAACCTTAAACCCTGCTGCTAAAGCTCCTGGGGGCGTGCTGCGGGTGGGAGAAGCGCCACGACCTCAGAAACCCGAGAGGGTTTTAAGTTTTTAGGTGTCGGGTTTAGGTAGTCCGGTTGGGTTCTCGTCCGGTTCGGACGTAGGGTTTCCGTCCGGTTCGGACATGGTAGGGCTTGCGTCCGGTTCGGACGTGGTAGGGTTCCCGTCCGGTTTGGACGTGGTAGGGTTCCCGTCGTGCTAGGGTTCCCGTCCGGTTCGGACGTGCTAGGGTTTCCGTCCGGTTCGGTCGTGGTAGGGTTATCCGGTTCGGACGTGATAGGCTCCCGGTCAGTTTAGGGCAATTTGGGGTTTGTATAATAAGGACTTATGCCAAATAGGTGCGTTAGGGCCCGGGATTGGATACCCAAACCCGAAACCCTAAACCTAATGGAACGAGATTAGGGATTATTGGTCCTCATAACATGGGTTTCGTATTGGTAATAATGTAGGCTTGAAAGGTGTATAG